ATTCTGAATATGTCTCAAAGGAGCAATAACAGACTATTCCCTGAAACTTGAGCAAACTCTGATCAGTAGTGGCTACAACATTTTGGGTAAGGAGTAGAAGGCCCCTTATTATCCACAGCCTCTGGGACTTATAATCTTAAATTAAAATCCTTGTATTACTGTGGCACGTAGGGTATTTTATTAATTGTCCACTTATTTAAATGTGTTAGTTTGCAAGCCACTGAAGACCAGTCAACTCACTTTTTTTATTCCTTCAGAAGAAATCATTTCTAAATGTCATTTGTTGACTCAGTGTGCACTTTATGGGTAAGTCTGTGTATGGATTACATAAGCACTGATGTGTAAACAAAGATCACATCAATAATCTCTATGCAATACAGATCTGACCTCTTGCTCATTTTGGTCTAAGAATCCAATAAACAGCAGCCTGTTACCTGTTTGTGTGCATCCCTGGTTGGATCAATGCACTTAATGTGACCTTATGGGTCTTCATATACTTTATGGAGGTCATATCTTACAGTATGCGTCACTATTGACTCTTAGAAAATACATAGATTGCATATTCTTGTTTTATGGACCACAAATGTATCAAACACACTCACGATGTATGAATTTTAAGTGGAGTTAGGCAGGAAAACACTTGCACAAGCTTTCGAACCACCTTTAGCTTAGTGATTGGGTGATAGCTGAGGATTTGCCTATATGTAAATGTACTGTTTAAAAGGTTTAGAGGCCAAAAGGAAAGGAGGCACACGGCTCACATTGTCCTAAGACAGTGGTTCCCAACCTTTTACCTTTAGGGACCCATTTTCTATCAGTTAACTGACAACCCCTGACTAAGTGATGTATTTTTCATGTTATATTCAATGCATAACAATAACAGTAGAGAACAGCTGATAAACTGTACAATGAACCCAAACAGTAAACACAATAAGTGCAGTACATTTGTGTAAAATTAGCGGATATAGTGCATATTGACTTTCCCTGACATTTTTATACAATTCTCTGTCTGTATTAAATTTTTTTGTTAGTTTTTAACAATCATACATACTAAAAAGGCTTATTTTTTGACAATTCAGTGTTTTCCTCTCAGTGTTCTATTTTAACTGCATACTTTTCTAATGCAGGATGAGGCTGTTTAGCAGAGTGAAGGCTCTCTGAACATAGCTTGTGTTCAAGTCTTCACTGCACCCTTATCCTGTAAGGTCTCTAAGTTTAAATCTTAAATAATAATCTTAAACTTAATTATCTAAACTTTAAAAATAAAAATTTAATTTAGTTTTCCTCTCAGAAATGTGTATATTTGAAGGTTTTCTTAAACCCAATAAAATCTAGAAATCCTTGCGACCACTCGAGAAACTTTGATGACCCCTAGTGGAGGTCAGGACCCCCAGGTTGGGAACCAGTGTCCTAAGGGGATGCTAATTATAAACCTGCAGTACCATAATGCAACGTATAGAAATAAGTATTCAGACATTAATGCTGCGTAAGGAAACTGCAGCCCCCTCATCGGTTTGCAGCAGCTCAGCAGGGTATATGAATATACAGAGGAATACAGTAAGGCTTTCCGGCTAAAAAGTTTAACCTGGCTCAACTTTTGCCAAAACACAATGCAGTGCAATCCTGCAAGATGCTCTGGTGGCCAATGCGAGGGCACACCATGCTTTTCAACAGAATGGTACCTCAAGACTTCCAGTTTGGTAAAGAGTTGTATTTCTTCACAGGTATATTTCACTTTAGCTCACATCTACATCATCTTATCTGCTCCTCGGGGGAGTAACAAAAACTGCATTTAAATCTACAATAAATGTGTCTTTCATCAGCTCCACAGTCAAAACCTGAACTGATGTAATGTTTACGATTCACAGATAACTTGAACACTGCATTTAAATTTGTCACACCAACAGATAAAATAATAGCCCCCATGATAACTTTCATAAAATGCATTATAAACCACTCACGCAGTGTTTTGGTGTCTGATAAGCCTTCAGACTCAGAGATCTATCAAACTGGCCTTCCTGCATCATATTTCATTGTCACTAGAACTAGTTTTAAAGCAGGGTTGCTCTTTCAGTCTGAATGCTCACAAATTCAGAATCTGACATAAGCTCATCTCCCTGTCAAAGTAAGATTTTTATAGATAACCAATCATTTGTAGGTTTCTGCTTCAGTCTGTGAGGCAGAACTTGACTGTAAAAGCAAAACCAAAACATCATCACATCTTTTTTTATCTTCAGTTAATGGAGCAGACTGCTAACACACTGCAGCGAGAAGTCTTCATCACAGCGTACGTATATATGACAGCAGGGAGCCCAGAGCTGCTTCGATCAAATTGTTACAGCAGGATTTCTCTGTCCTGTCACACAACATGGAAACGGTATCTATGTGGTGTATGGTGAAAATAGATGCCCAGAGTTTGCTCCTTAATCATCTCCTCCAAGGCTGAGCACTAAGCATCCATAGCTTGTGATCTCAGTACATTATCTTAAGAGCCGTCCCATCCTGAAAAAGAATTGCCTCTGCCAGGCTTACCCTACCATGAAGGCTGCATTCTGAGATAGTTTCCATCACATACTGTAAGGCTGAATAAACAGGACGGACCTCCTCTTGTTTGTTGTTCAGATTGAATTCACCCGGCCTCCATTACCATAAAGAGGTGGAATGCACTGCTGTGTGGAAGCTCACACCGGGCTCCACCGTTCACAAACACCAGTTCACTCAGCTATGGATAACATCAGAGGAGTGGGCTCATGTTTCAGGGATGTGCAGTAGTGGGGTCATTCAGAGGATGGCATGGGAAGACTGAGATGCGGCCTTTTGAGTTATTCTGAGAAATATTCAGCAGTATTGGTAAAAAAGATGCACATACATCATTCAAACATCACACTGTAGGAACAGGAAGGAACACTGATTTCTGACTGGAGGGGGGCTTTAAATTTCAGTCAAAAAAAGAGATTGTCTCAGTTAAATTTCCATCACCTTTTCCTTCAACAACTCCGGATGCCTAACATCTGCTAGTGTCCACTGATGCTCCTTCTCCATGTCCACTAGTTCATTACCCACAGCCATTAGACACCATCATCAGCACGCTTGGTTAGCCTGACCAAAAGCCTGCAACAATCTATAGAAAATGATTCTGAAGATCCCTGGGAAAACATTTGCCTCTCAGCTGTAGCTTATGTTCCCCCGTAACACTGAAGTGCACCTATCATGAATAATCTTCCTGCCACACACTGAACCAACGCAAATCTGCTGCGAGGAAACGTTGAGGAGATGAACAGCAGAATGAGTTCTGCAGCGTTCCAGAGAGAGGTAGAATACAGTCACCTTTACAGGGTCATCCATGCTTATCAGGATGGAAAAGTAAGTACCGCAGGATAAATGTCAATTACCCAACTTCAACGTCAATTATTCAACTTGACTGCACTTGTGTGGAGTCGCTTTTCAGCACCTCTGTGTCAGGAAACGGGGTGTTTTCGCACCAAATCCACCCCTCTGACACCTTCTTTGAAGCTCTGGCTGCTGCCGTGACTCTCGGGTGTTACGAACGCAGCAACACATCCCTTGATGTTCCACAGCAGCCTTGTGAACTGCTTCAGCCCAAGAGCATATGGTTGATGGTAGAGGGCAGGCAGCATATAGTACTTTTCAACATTTAGAAAGGGGTGGCTCAAGTGTTCCAGTTTGGGCAAAGAGTTGTGTTTCTTCACACTTGAGCTCACATCTATCTGAAGTTCTCCTGAGGGGAGGAACTGGCATTTAGATTCCTTGAATACTGCATTTAAATCCACAGTAAATGTCTCTCTCATCTGCTCCTCTGGTAGAACCCTGAACTGACGCAATGCTACGCAGCCTCCACCTTTCCTCACACCACATATTATCATCCTCATCTTCTTCGCCAGTGCCTGAGGAGAATTTCCGCGGGGAACGTGCCGTTGTGGCTGCTGCTGAGGCACGTTTGAAGTCTGGTCACACGATGGAAGATGGAAAAAAAAAAAAACCCATGAATGATTTGCATCAGAGATAACAACCACCACAGGGGAGTGAGGACGGATTGAGGCCTGTGTATTTTGAAATATAGGCAGCTTCACATTTCATGCCCCTGGGCTCTATGAAAAATTTAGTAGCTCAGATGTGTTGTTTGTTTTTGTGGCTTATAACTTGCTGCAGATTAATTGATACAATATTGATTTTTTTCCTTCAAGCTAAACAAAACAATGTATATAATAGCTTTATGTCTGAAAAGCATATGCATAATGGATTAGATTAAGTGTGTCCAATAACTTCTGCATAAACTATTTTATACACAGAACACCAACTGAGCCAGAGATAATAGATTCAATGCCCCCAAAAGCACCTAAGTGTGTCATTTCTTAGCAGATTGCTTTTTCTGACTAAATCAGTCAAGACGGCAGCAGCATGAGACACTTAGGCTGACATTAAAGCATGAGTGGATCTGCAGAAACAATCTGATTTTTTAAAAATCTTTTTAGCTCTAGATTGCTTTGTAACACACTTACGGCCTACTGCAAGATGAATGACAGATGTCCGTTGCAGCTGCAGGGTTCAGATCCACAAATAACAGACTCCAGCAGCTCCAGCCTACAAGCTGTTCATGTTGAGATCAGAAATGAATGGAGGTGTAAAATAAACCCCTCTAGAGTGAGTCTGGGTGAGTATGATAGGTGTAAGTTAATATGATTTGATCTCGGAAAGGAGAAGTCATGTTTTTCTGAGATTTTATTCGATTCCTGGTTATGTTTTCTCACATTTTCTAAGCTGCTATAACATCACCACTGCCAGAGCTATTAACCATGCATCAGCAAACATCATTATTGAGGCTAATTCGGGAAAACAAAATGTCAGCTGGAAGCCTGCATCATCAAAATGCCATTTTCAAACAGCTTTTGAGTCAACAAATGAATTATTAAAAGTGGGCCTCGATGAGAGAGAAAAAGAAAGTTAAAGGGTCACAGAAGGAAAGAAAACCATAATCTTACTTTGACTGTCGAATTTCCTGATGATGGTGTCCAGGAAGGTGTTCTGCGGAGCCACATGGCCCCTCCGGACCGGCATCTTCGCTGCGGTGGCCCCTGGACTTTGAGAGACTTTGCAGGAGTTTGAATATTAACACACCGAGGCTGATTCCGCAGCAGAGCGCACGATGCTCACTGCGCTCCCCGCATGGAGACACCGACAGGTTCAGCGGCAGTAATCCGGGGGCCAAAGTTTTCCCAAGTTGCTCAGAGAGACGACAGGCTCGCGGTGGATCTCCGGGAGAACGTGAGAAGTGGAGAGTTGTGGAAAGGAGGCGCACTGTACGCACGGCAGAACTGAGCCGTCCCCAGCCTCCAGTTTCCAGGTTGAGAGGCGCGAGGGTGTCTGTTTCTGTCCCCCGAAGGGAGGGCCGCCTGTCAGGTGATATTTCTTCCTGCTCTCACACTTGGTGGAGCACAGCAGACCTCTCATCCTGCACTGCAGCCCGCTCCTGAGAAGCGGACTGGGCGAGCTTTCCGACGAGCGTCGTTGGAGCCATAGTTGGGGCGCCGGGCTGCGCGTTTATTGTTTCTTTCTCATTCCACCTCCTCTCCCTGCCTCTGAACGTCTGTGTGCGCAACTGGGGGAGAGAAGGGACACAATGATGGGTAAAAGAAAGACAGCAGAGCGCAGATCCGCAGCTTGAATCGTCCTAGATGGGTGTTTTTGGAGGTGTTCTCTGTATCTCTCCTCCTCCTCCTCGCTGTGCGCTCTGCCGGATGACTTCAGCTCCACCGGCGTCTAGCTGCGCCTCTTTTAACCCTTTGCTCAACAGGAGCGGGTGATGTAGATGAAGTAGAGGCGCTCTCAGCTACCCAAACATTTAATGATCTTTGAAAAGAGCAGTTTAAATTACAACTGAGGTTCCCAAAGTGGGGCAGGGGCCTCTATAGTGAAGTTATTATGAATGAGTCATTTGACAAAAAGTGATCATTTGTTACAATTTGGGGAGGCAGCCCATGGTAACCATATTCCATGCAGTTGTGAGATAAAAGGGAGTCGTGCTTTGTTTCACCGCAGCTTTATCTCTCTCTCTCTCTCACACACAGACACACACACCTGCTCTGAGTGGCTGCGGCCAAACGGTTGCTGCTGACAGGTGTTCAGCTCCGGGCTACTGTACCTGACTTCCTGTATGGGAGGGGTTCATTGGAGACACACGCGCCCTGCCGCCCGCTCCCGCTGTATTGATAAAGGAACATTTCCCCGCGCTGCAGTGAAGCGCTCCCCAGCTGATCCTGAATCAGTGGTTTACATGTAAACCCGCTCAGGGTGCGGTTGCGTGCTGCCTTGTCGTGTTTCAGGGTTGGATGGGGATTCACCTCTCAGGCTGCCCAGCAACGTCACACCGCCGGGGTTCCCCCCTTCCGTCATGCTGGGGCTGATGCCTTCACGGACTGTCGGATATTGTGGTTTAATTCAATTCAATTCAATTCAATTCAATTCAATTCAATTCAATTCAATTCAATTGTATTTGTATAGTGCCAATTCATAACAGAAGTTATCTCAGGACACTTTTCAAATAGAGCAGGTCTAGACCGAACTCCTTATAACATACAACATAATAATTTAGGCTGAAGCGCACATGGATGCCTGATCAGTCCTATTCAAACTGCGTTTTATAGGCTGTCTTTATGTATGAATGGTTGCCACAGTGAGTGTGGAAGACTGATTCAAAGGACTGTAATGTGTATCTGCGGTGTCAGGATGTTACTGCAGTTAGCTGAGGTAAAGACTGACTGTAATCATGTGGTCTCTGCAAATGAAAACTAAAACATAGTCCATCAAATGACAAGCAAATGATATTTTATTGTACAAATGAACCAACCAATATCGACATATATATGAACTTAAACAACTTTATAATACAGCACAAAATACTGTGATATGATCAAATAAATTCCCTTTGATGGATTCTTCAGATGAGCTCACTTTTATTGTTCTTAAGGTTGCAGAATCATTTCTCTGCACACTGGTTATGCCCTTTAAGTTGTGTTTAACTTGTTGACTGGGTCCATTGTTACAGGAAAGAGTTTATGAAGCAGGGACTATGAAATTCTTGTCACTGTTTCCATGCTCCTCATAGGTTAGAAACACAAGCAAAGAGTGTACCAAAAGCTGATGTTCAGTGCTGTAACTTATTATTACTACTACTATTACTTTTACTAGTACTATTACCCTTCATTTTGGAAAAGTAAAAATGGATAAATTAGCCAGCATCTACAGTATGTAGAGCCTGTATATGGAACAGCTGTAAATGGATAAATATACCAGCAGTATAAGTGAGACAGTGTGTGGGAGTTTTTTCATTTTTATCCAGGAAACCAAGCAACAAATGTTCTAGACATTGTTTGAGTTGTTTTGAAGTTTAAACAAGCAACACGCAGAGTTTTTCTTTTTCTGACTGCACTTGAAGGCATCCGCAGGCTAAGCTCTCCCACTGCATGTCCAACACTTTCTTAGAGTCCATTAGAACAAGATCCTTAAATCCATCTCAGAGATGTAATAGGCCTTGACTGAGTAAAATTTCCTTGTTTTTAGTTCTTTCACATTCATGCCTAAAGCAACGCGGCTGCTCGCTGGGTGCATTTATCAAAATGACCTGCACAGCAGCATGAATGCATTCATTTCTCCTGCGATCAGGGCTTTAATGATTGGTTAGGACATGATGAATTGCAGCCTTGCAGTTGGACGAGGCCTGAGGAGCTATCCATCAAAATGTGACATTTTGGTATGAATTAAAAATGCATCAGTTCCTGCTCTTATTACACCCAGCAGTGTTGACTACAGTGCCTGAAAGCTAGAGGAGGCGTGCTGGTCAGCCTCCCTCTCTCAACTCCCTTATTTAGTCAGGAAAAGAGAGAGGGAGGAGGGGAGGGGAAGGAGGCGGAGAGGAAAGCGGACAGTTTCTTGTAATGGATGAGACAGATCCCAGCCTGTCAAACTCTCTCTCACAGACACACACACAGACACACAGACACACACACACACACACACACACACACACACACACACACACACACACACACACACACACACACACACACACACACACACAAAAGACAGGCAGAAAGAGGACTATAGTTGCTTTAAGTGTTCTTATTTTATTTCATCTTGCACAATAATGAATAAAGGACGTGAAAAGCTGCAGTCTTCACTTTGACACATCCATTAAAACTTACCTCTTAAAATGAATAAACAGTTTAGCAGCAAATTAAACTCTGTCATCAGAGAGCACATCACTTTATAGAACAAGCAGAACATTTCCAGGGAAACATTTTCATAAATATCTCATGTAACTTTATTTACTCAAACAAAAATCATATGCAATGGCCACACTCATTTTTGGGAAAAAATAAATTATGCATCATTAATTCCTATCTGGCTCATATCTGGTTCTACTGACATCTCAGAACTTAAAGTTTGGAAGTTGGACCTAAAGGAAAGGCACTGTCAAGGCCAGATACAAACAACTCAAACTAGGTTGTGGAGGTTTTATTACAACTGGATGATGCAAACTTATGCAACTTATTTTTAACAGAATAAATACCGTGAGAATATTCCTGATATTCGTCTAACATGTTCAAATAAGTGTTATTATGTAATATGATCTTGGAAATGTTAGACATTCCCTACAAACTCAACTATGTTTACCCTCCATCTTTATATGAGAGTAAATTGATCACAGCTCAACTGTCAACTAACCTCCAGACCAGACCTTGTGCTATTGGCCTCACTCGTCATCGAGCTCACAGCACCCTGGCACGATGCAGGGGAGGATGTCTATGAGTGCAGCAAACAGAGGTTCACTTACAACAAAGTGGTTGGAAGGTAAAGGTCTGACCAGTTGAAGCTGCAGAGGGTTCATCAAAGGTTCACATCAGCATCAAGGCCCCTCTACTCTACGAGATGGGGGTTTGGAGCAAGGCTCACCAGCAAGCAGACCTGCTGCTCCAGAGCTGCTGAAAAATGCAATCAGTGGCTCTGGACGAAGAGAGAGGACTTCACCTGGTACCGCAAGTGAGCAGACGGCATCTAGTGGATGAGCTTGGGATGCCGGGACTCAGTGCTGAAGTATCTTTCAGCAAAACTCAGAAGGAGGAAGCCCACTCACTCGACCACCCTGTTGAGTCTAGGCAGCCTGTGTAAGGAGTGCAATGTAAAGGAGCACCAGCTAGAGACACTCATTTGAGAGCAAAAGCGTATACGTTTATAGATGTGTGTATATTACAAGCAAAGTTATTTAATTCTCTGAACTAGAAATGGTACACCAAACATAATGGACATTATGAAGAATCTGGAACCATTAATCTTAATTTAAAATACAGTGATGTTATGTTAGTGATATCAGGAATGACACACTGATGCTTGGATATAAATGTAATGGTATACCTAACAGAGGGTTAAAGATAAACGATAGGTGCAACGGAGAGATACTGTATGCTGTTTAAAGACATGGGTATTTCTTTTAAACAATTGACAATTAAGATTGTTAAAAAGACAGACAGCAGATAATATTCTCCATGTGGAGAAAATGTTTATTGACCAGTCCACTGGAACTACACTGTAAACAGCAACATGTAAGAATGTCTACAGTCTACAGACTGCTGGTACATTATCTTTAGACATAAATGAAACATACTTTGTATCGCAGGTCCTTTAATATTACTATAAATATACAGTAGAAAAAGGCTGTACAGGCTGAAGAGAACTCTACAAGAACGATCAGCAGTAGCATCCAGTCATATGATGACTAAGGACTACAGAACAATGTGTACATCAACAGGGTCTCAGGACTTCACTCATCCATCCATCGATCTGTCCATCCCAAAATTCTCCACACATCACCCAGCTGGCTGGCAGTGTGGCGCTCTCACTTGACTTGGCGTTCATACTCGTCCTGCTCTCGCTAGTGCACACACACTCAGCTCACACACACTCAGCTCTCACACACACACACTCAGCTCACACACACACACTCAGCTCACAGACACACTCAACATACTCGCTCAGCGTCTGGACAGGTCACCTCCTGTGAAGAAGAGAAACAGTGAGACTGATGGAATCCTAACTTCACTGTTATTTCCTGTATTAACTGAACACATGCATCAAAAAGAAAACTGCGTCCTCTGCAGGAGGAAATACTGAGGACTGTCTCTAAAGCATCTTATCTTCATTTGGAAATGTATCTGAACAGCATGACTTGGATCTGAGATATCTCACTTTTTGTATTAAAAATCTATTAAATTAAATCTACTGCAAATGTGTAACAAATGATTAATATGAAATGCATCAACAGTTGAGAAATGCTTCCATGTAAGTCATCTCCAGTCTTGTGTCTGTGTGTATAAGCATCAGATAAGAAACGAGAAAATTTGCAGTGGCAGTTAATATGTGTAAGTGTGTGTGAGAGCGGCCACACATTATCAAAGACTGATTGCTGCAGCGACTAAATCCGCCAGACGTGATGTCCGCGTGAGTGCGGCGCTGGGAGGGGAATATGAGCTGGGGGGATGTTCTCTGTCGTATGTGGCTACATCCAATTAACTAACGCAATCAGCCATGTTGATGAATGGATTAGCACATAATTGCTTCAGAGGTGGGTTCCTTGATTGAATTATTCATGATGGGCAAAGACAAACGTATGTTTCACTAAAATTAGAGTGTATGTGCGTGTGTGAATCTGTGTAAATGTATGTATGTCAGTGTGTGTCAGCCCAGCGTTAATGGAAAGTGACTGAAAAATGGTATTAAGAGAAGAAGAGACAAGACATGAAGGCGTGTTACAGCCACATCCTGAGCTGCCTTCTTTGGGGCAGAAACTGTTTGCATTACACTATCAGTGATCTTACAGCAGGTATTTTTCATGGGTGCTTTCCAAAAATCTTGAGCCCGGTGGGCATGGTAGCCATTCCATTTCAGTTTGGGACATAGAACAGCGCATGCTGCCGATGTCAGCTGACCTAAAAGATGGCTTAGCAGCTGTACCCAAAGCACAGTAAACTAGAAGAGAGCCCTGAGTAGAGTTGTGGCACAGGCTGTGTGGAGACAAACCTCAGACACTTCTGAACCAAGTATTTTCAAAGTGAAAATATGTTTATTATTAGTATTAATATGTATAGTATGTTGTCCATAGAGGAATCAAGATTGCAGACTGAAGCAGCTGTTGAATCACATGTTGCCCCACCTGGCTTTTAGAGGAGTGAGGAGTTAGCAGTCAATCGTGGGATACAATAGTCAATAAACCACAGAGGCTTTTGAGCATACAGTCATAAATGTGCTCAAAAAAATATTAGGTCGATGGGTCCAGTAGTATGCAAGATTATCTGTGGACAGATACACACTTTGACATACGACCAACCCTATGATCCCCCCAGGCTTACACCTGACGGAGATAACAAGAGACCAGTAAGCACGTGCTGTATATTTTACACAACTTGTCATTGCTGAATTCAAATGGAGATGGAGAATGATTGTTGCATGGGTCGCAACCTAACTTACCAAGTATTACAACAGCATCCGTTTTCCACCAAGAAAAGCCTTCAGTGCCGTTCTTTGCGCTTCTTTCAGTTAACTCTCCAGTTCTAATATAACTGATGCTAGCAGCATCTACGCTAACCTCTTCTCGCCATTGTTGTTTTTGTCACGTTTCACGCACATCGTCACAGATGGACCTGATGCCTCTTGTGCCACGTGCACACTCCATTTCAGCAGGTTTCAGCACCATCACTGACACATAATGAGCAGGACACTGACATGACCAAAATCAACACAGCCCATTTTGAACACCTGCTGTGACATCACTGATTGGGGTCGGGCCCTAATTAAACAGAGCAGGGTCCCGTTCTTCTTAAATGGATGACTGAACTTGGTTAAACTGTTGATATGACACAGGATGGATTTTGTTTAATGTTTAATGTTTAATAGGAGTTGAGAACAAATTCTTGGTAAATTGTTGAAGTGAGATTGACAGAGCGTTTGGTAGGTTTCATTGTGTACCAATAACATGTTAAAGGTGGTTCCTCAGCTTTAACATCAGTCACAGTGCCATGTTGACACATGAGTTCAGTTATATGAGTTCTGACCATAGTTTTGAATCCTTTGTCATGCTGCTGAAATTTCAAAATAAGTGCACTGCTATCACTTCATCTAAGGTTAATAAATCAAACCTGCATTTGAGGAACCAAGTCAGCTGCATGAGAACTACAAGCAGGGCACAAAATAAGCAACAGCCACCAGCCAGATGTTGATAAAATATGCAAGTGGGTGGTAGATCTGCTTCACTCACCAGCCAAAAAACTATTGGAATTTGAGTGGCTGTTAAAATTTGAACATTCACTAACCATTTTGCAGCCCGATTCTAAGGATCTTGTTTTATGGCTCACATGACAAAGCAGTTTTCTGTTATTTGGCCTTTTAAATAGTGCTTCCTCTTATATTTCACTGTCAGAAAATGCAATTATTCATGTGAGAAAAGTTGTAAAATACATTCTGCAATAGCTTCTGGGTATGTATATTTTCTAATTACATTCCCTGTTTTCTTGCCATTCCTCTGTGATTGCAGGGGGCCTGGAGTGTATAACATGCGTTATGTGCAACATTTTCACATTTATTTAAATGCTGGGTTCTCACACTGACATGAGAGATGCACATGCAAATGCACTCGGCCACATTCATTATCCCCCACCTTGGCAGCTGGTGCATTCGCAGCTGTGTATGACGGGCAGGACGACCGGCTCGTTCTCTCCGCTCTCACACTGCAGGCTGAGGAATCGGACTGGGTTGTTAGGGTCCAAACGGTAACTACAGCACTCGCAAACTGACTGGAGGTAGGGCTCCTGTAGAGGAGAGATAATGAAATGATGAAAGAGGATGAGTGAAGCAAAAAGAGGAGAAGAGGTGAAAGAAGAGCCAGAGGGATAAGTGGAGTGAGCCAATTAGGAAATTGGAATATGATGAGGAGAGGGTGATGGGTGTCGAGGAGATGGAGGAGAGAATTTCCGAAGAGAGGGGAGAGGGGAGAAGAGGATAGTTGAGAAGAGAGAGATGACGTGTGAAAGGAAATATTATGGGTCAAGGAAGTGAGGGAAAAAGGAGGTTAAGTTTAAAGGAGGTGAAAAGGCAGGAGGAGAGAGGAGGCAGTGGGAGAAATTAGAACCTCTTAACGTGAGACAGTATGGACGAGAGTACAGAACATTTATATACTATACTTTATCATTTCCTGTGGTGCATCTGAAACACTAGTGTAAAGCTTCACTCAGAATATATTCTATTTTAACAACGAATCCAATCAAGATGTGCTATGTGAAAGGGGTCGCTAACACTGATGAAACCACAGAGGATTACTATCAAACTATGCAGCTCCACACAGCTATTCAGCCTTTTAGCTGTCTTCATTTTCAAGCAAACTCCACTCTCATGAATCTCATTTCAGGTGGCTGTAGCACACAAGCTCTGATAAGCCCACAGTACACTGCCCCTAACCAATCGGAAGACATTTTCACCATATAAAGTTATGGCAAAAGTGTTAGCTTAAGGTTGATTATTTACACATTCGGCAGACACAGAGCAACGTTAGAGGCCAATATTCCCTCCTTTTCTAGCTCTGGTTTGGTCTCTACCGACTCCTGAGGGTAGTGTCTGGTTCTTCAGCTGATCCACTATGTTCACCAGCTCGCTGCTAACTTTGTCTGTCTGCCTTTTGGCACTGGGCAGATAGCCTACAGTGGGTTTATCAGAACTTTTACACTAAAGTCAGCTGCAGCTGAACACAATGCTGCTGTGAACCAAAACGTTAAAGTGGTGGATTATATAATTATATGAACAATATTATTATTTTTAAAAAAAATTATAATAATAATACCTTTTACTTACTTACATAGAGTGCCTAACTTGACAAATTACATTAGTAAAAATAAGAATATAGAACACAATAAAACACAATACAAGCACACATTTATGGACTGGGTAATTCAGCATTTTTTGTATCTGCTGAAATACAAAAACCCAGCCTTGGTGTTTTGCATGACAGAAGGCAGCTCCTTGGAAGTACTCATGTGTCCAATTAGTGGAGGCGAAGAGGAGGAGAGATAGTGGAAAAGCACAATGGATGGTAGCAGAGAATGATAGATAATAGGGGGAGAAGGAGGTGATGGGAGGGAGGGAGTCCAGGATCAAAAACTCAAAAGCACCTTCAACTTCTAAGTAGCAGTTATTAGTGCTTCACACACTTCCAAGTCCACAGTGTGTGTGTGTGCATATGAGTGTGTACTTCAGCTGGTGGTGTGAAAGAGCATGTGATTCCTGTGAATGCATTCCTTCTTCTTCCAGTCCTGCTGATCAATGAAAAGGGAACTTCTCTGTGCTGCCTAGTCACCGGTTACCATCCCTGGTTGCCACGGTAACAGGAGGTAATGACACATTTGGCTGAGCTGATGTTTATTTTTACTAATCTGACTGACTCTATTTTTACAGTGGAGATGTATGGATGCCAAGAAGGAACCAACACCATGGTGATGAAGTGATGAGCTCGCTGTGTTGCAAGATAAATAAAAAAAGACAACAAGTGAGCAAAGAATCTCTAACAGACTTTACATGTGACCCCTGCACAAGACTCCTATTCAAAACACCTATATTTAGATCTCTGGTGATTCAACTACTGAATTATGTATTTCGGGTTACCTTTCTCCATGTCATCTGTGTGAACTGTGCATACAACGGTCAAAAGTCACTGTTAGCTGTACCCTGTTTATCTATAAAAGACAGAGATGAAAGCAAGTGTGGGACAAGATGAAAGGGGTCACATGTTTGACTTCATTTGATTTAGTAAAAATCCTGTTGATGCCAGGTCCTGCTTCAGGAAGGAAAACGGATGGGCAATTTGGCTGCACAGTGATAGCTAAGGCAACAATCCTGATTATTTTCTTGCATATTGTGAACAATAACTGTTAACTGTGACTTTGTTAGGATTTGAAGGCACTTAGTGTACACATGTTTATGATTTAAGCCTGGCAGACATGCCTAATGAAATGAGCATTGCAGAAAGTCCCAACTGCAGGATCTGAAATTGCACTAAATAATTAAACACAACTGACCGTGCAACCCTGATGGGCAAACAAATACAACAAACAGCTTTATTCTGTTCCAGTTCTGGCCCCTTTGTGTCTCTGTTGCTGACTGTATTGATCATTATTATGTTACCAGTTGTCACTCATGTTGGGGTCATTGCTCGTCAATAATGCCTCATGGTCAGATAGTAATATCTTTTGTGTGTGTGTGTTGATGTATCTTTTCCGTACCTCCAGGATGACATCAGTCCTGGACAGACAGCGTCCCCTGCAGAAGCTGACCTCCACGTTGTCAAGCCGACAGTCTCCCTTGGTGATGTTCCTGACCTGCACATAGCGACGGCACTCCAGCTCGGGCTCGCCTGACGGACAACACACGGAGGAGGAGGAGGAGGAGGGAGGAAAAGGGGCAGTATGAGATAAGACAGAGTATGTGGGGAATACACAGTGCAAGTAAAAGGAGATGATTAAGTATTTTTTTGTATTTGCATTAAAAATGAGGAGGAAAAAGAGAAAGGAAGAGACAGCCAGAGAGTTCCTTCCAGAGAGCACAGTGACATTGCCATGCTCCCTCGCAGCATGTGACATTTCCTCCACTGGGAGGAAGATTAAGGTCCCAATGTAGGTTAAGTAATGTAATCTCTCACTAATTGGGGACTGCAGCACTTGGTTTTTAGCCTCATATAAAATTAACTAAAGAACATTCAAATCCAATGAATGTATGTTTATAATGTAAATGTGTTTTTCTTCTGTCCTGCTGTATGTTGTACTAACCTGGGAACTGCTTTCTGCAGACTGGACAGCAGCTGCCTGGTTCCTCCACCTTGACCTCCCCCTGAGAGAGATAACACAAGTTGTCTATTTATCATTGTTTTGATCAGAACAGACTGGTGAACAAAAAAAATCCAAAATAATCTACAGCACCCTGTCAACACTCACAATCAATTCATGGACAGTCACGTATGTTTGGGCACAACATCCTTTGTCATACATTTCATTAAATATGTGACAGTGACTGATTGTATATACAGTACACATTCTTCAAAAGGAAAACAACCAAAAAAGAGAAAAAGCAATCAATTTTTCCAAAAGAGGAAAATACAAAACACACACCTTAGAATTGGCAGTGAAAAACTAAGGTCAACCCAGGTGACGCAGTGCCACTTGGATAACATACTGAGTACAAGTTTAAAAATGATGAGCAACTCCAAACAAACCATAAATCATTTAGAAAAAATAAAAAATACAGAAATAGCATTACATTTCTAAAGAAAGGGAACCAAAAAAATGTAAACCATCTAGAAAATGGGGTCAAGTAGGTCTACAATAGTGGAGTACAGCCATGCTAGCAGCTCTGTAAGTCTGTACTCAGACACAGCACTGCTTTGAGCTAAATGTTAATGTCAGCATGCTAACATGCTTGCAATGGCAACATTCTGATGTTCAGATATGTTTACCATGTTTACTAGCTTAGTTTAGCATGCAAACATTTGCTAATCTGCAATAAACACTAAGTTCAGCTGAGGCTGATGGGAACGTCATTAGTGTTATAGGTATATGGTGATAAATTAAAGTATTGGACAAATTTGACATTATGGTGGTGCTAGATCAATTATTACAATTCAGCTTGGGCGGAACATGGATGTACCAAATTCCATGGTGATTCATCCAGTCTTTGAGACATTTACTAAAAAAGAAAAATGTAAACCTCAGGTTGGTCCAAGAGAAAAAGAAGATGATCACCAAAGTCACTAGGATTCATCCTCTGAGGACTATGGATGACAATGTAGAGGAGAGGAGAGGCAGAGAGACAGGATGTCAGACCAGCTGAAACGATGGGAACAGCAACAGAAATTAAAAAAGGCAAAAAGTGAGACACAAAGACCAGAAATAGCGAGAGCAAGACAGTGACGTAAGGACACAAAGGACGTAGACGGAGAGAGATCCAGAACAGTCCAGAGAAAAGCAGGGTGTCCCGTGGTGTCCCTGTCTTAGAATAGCTACTGTTAGCATGCAGAGTCACACATTCACTCACACACAGTCTGACAGCAGGCTTCAGCACCAACACCAGCCCCAGCTCACCATTGAAACTTTACCCAACTGTACCATTTCTTTCTCTCACACACACACACACACACACACACACACACACACACACACACACACACACACACACACACACACACACACACACACACACACACACACACACAGACACACACACACACACACACACACACACACACACACACACACACACACACAGAGACCTTGCTGTTCACCCCAAAGACTTCTCCTCCCACTCTGCACTGCCGCCAGCCTTCCCTCAGGGATGGAGGGAGCCCACTCACTTAAAGGGTGGGAGGTCACAAAGAGGACCATTTGAAGTCCTTTAAGTTAAGAGTCTGTATGTGTGTGTGTGTGTGTGTGTGATGCAGCATACAGTGGAAATTGTGTGATATGTGGGTTCCTGGTTATTTCAAAGGAAGGGCACTTGGCATTTAAAGCAAAGGGTAGTCAAATTTGTGTTGTCTACAGGCTGTGTGATAGAAATCAGAGTTCTTTTAATGTGTCTGGTACAGAAAAAAGAAACAAGAGCAGTCGGTGTTTGAGAGGATAGCTTTTATCCCCAGATATGATAACAAAGCCTTCAATACATAACCTTGGAAAGGGGCTCCCAGCAGAGCGGTAGAGGCATGTTAGGAGATTTCAATTTGAAAAAAGCTTAACTGTAAGCTGAGTGCTAAATAACAGTACATACACTGACAGTAACCAATTCTCAGGCAGTCAGGAGAGGGAACACAGTGCATTAAATGACCTTTTCATATTGGCCACTGGGTAAGGAGGAGTGCTTTCACTGAGGCATAACTTAGTGCAGACAGGGGAGGTGAGGGATTTGCAAGCAGAAATAGTTACACAACTCCGAGCCCCCTCCAGAGACACAGTGCACCGGCGTAAAGACCTGGGTACACCACAGGTGGAGCACTCACTAGACTGTCTAGTTTGTGGAGCTCACTGTGTAATCAACCTCTCCTTTAAGTTCTGGATGTCAGCAGAATGTATTTTTACCCTGGCCTTTATACAGCTCTGGAGTGCTAAACATAGAAATTTAGCTTACTGTGTCAAGGATGAGACTGACTTTTTTTACTGTGACTTTTTCTCAACTTTTGAGGTTTTTGTTACCTTAGAATGAGCCGTCTCTACAGTAGCCCAGAACGGACAAACCAAATACTGACTCCAGCTTAGTTGGAGCTTTCAGTTGGTTGTAATCTGAAATTTCACCGCAAGATGCAATTAAATCCTACACACTGGTCCTTTAAAAGGTTTTATTCACTTTTATTTACACAGGTTTTCTCACTTATCTCCAGTGGTTCTAACTTATCTCCAGTGGTATGTAGTAATGCAGGTAATATTGGTTTATATGGTAAAGGTTTAAGATGAAGTTTCATCCCTTGTATGCTCTACAGAGCACAATGTTAACAGCTTTCATTACCTTAGCAACAGTGTGTTCTGTGGATTATCAAGAGTAACAGGGACATTTGTTTTGGAAAAAGATGTTGATAGTTCTATATTTAATTCTTCAATGCTGTGAGCATCACAAATTAAATTCTATTAACCTTAATTGTTTAAGGATGGTGACAGAAATCTCAGTGACATATGTCATGATGTGTAACAATAAAATGAAAACTATCTGTTAGATAGTGAAATTTGAGTGAACTGAACCTTCCAATATGACACGGAGTTGAAGCCAAAGAGAGAAGAAGCATTGCAAAGGGACATTTGGTAGAAAAAAGTTTCAAAAACAACAGGGCGCCTCAGTGGGATGCCACAAACAATGTTTATTTTAACACTGTCATACCCTTCTCTATTTTTATCCGAGGCAGGACTGGACAAAATCTGTATTTATGTGGTACCAAAAGTTCCACCTGTCTCAAGGACTAGAAAAATAAATTCATATTTTATACAGAGTTTTTTTTTTCTTCATCTGCTTCTAGTTGTACAGAACGCATGCATAATTGACACTCAGCTCACCATTCTCTTGCGAGATGACCAGCTGTTAGCCACTCACAGGCGCATGACTGAGCATTGTGAGACGAAGGCAGAATTATTTCTTTTCTGTGAAGGGGCTGTCACCAGCAATGACAAGCACGCGCTGGTACCCATAATCCCTCATGCATGACAACACAATAACGTAAACCATATGCAAAATGTTGCTGCAAAAATTGAACTGATGAATATTTTAAATCTACAGAAGATACCATACGTGATACATATGATTCTTGAATCTTAAAAATAAAAATGTAACTGGTGGATATGTTGCATTGGAATTAAACTCAATTATGCTTAATGAGGAAACCAGATTTCAGTGTCTTATGGGAGGTAGAGGGGCTTGGTTAAGGAAAGAGTGCAGGCTTGTGGGAGCTTCGGACAGTCAGGTATTGATCTGCTTCAGCCAGCGACTTTCAGAGAACATCCCACACACTCTGGAGGGAGCAGAGCTTTTTCTCCCTTGCTCAGAGTAATTGAGATGTTTGTAGGCAACAGAGACGCTGTGTGAACTGTACCACCCCGGGGTAGCAGTGACGGTTGAATAGACGACACGTTTGTCTGGGGAGACTGATCATGCCACTGCATGTGAACCTTCGACTGTGTTTATCTGTGTTTGGATGCAGTAGGTGCACACACCCCTGCTGAAGAGCAAATAAACAAACATAGTTTTTAGCGCCACACCTTTCTCAGAACCCACAGAAAATGGTAAAGTCTGGAGTTTGGTACTGTACTTTGTGCAGGCGTCCGCATACTTGTGTGGGATTAATTTGACCAGTGCAGGTCTGATAGTGTAGTGTAAATATCTGTGATTTTAGCTCATGTTTGATCCATCAGCATCCCACCAAGTGGGTTATGATTCTGCTATTAGTATTATCATTATTATTGTACATACACAGCTGTTGGCGCAGTTCACTAGGTCCACAAGATACAAGATAAATTTAAAGGCTACCGGGATAATTAGGCAGCACATTTTCTCTAATTAAATACTCTGATGAAACTTTCACCACCACCTTCACCTTTAAAAATGATCCAATTGAAAATTACACTTTGAACTGCCTCCAAGTCATAAACATTACTCTGTAATGAAGACTTGGAAGGAGACAATGCTTCGTATTAAGGGATTATATGTAAAAAGAGTTGGGAATAAAAAAATTGAAGCTAGCAAGCAAATGATCAACTTAAAGTTGGGCAAAATGATGATGAGATTTATCAGCTGCTAGAGATTTTGTTATACCGTTCCTACTGAGGTAGCTATCCCACCAATATCTCTCTAAAAGGCCTAGTACACGCCTTTTAACTGGATTTAGGATTAGCCTAAAACTTTCTCAAGTTTCTCAAGTGGTTTTCCAGAAAAATGACAACATGACGATGTACTATTGTAATATGAAATGACACACTGTGATTTTAGTCATAATATCCACTATCTTGGAAAGTGTTTGGAAAGATTAGAGTAATTGTGCTTCAATGTGATCAACAAACATCACAATCAGTAGAAAAAGTACAAATACACAATCAGACAGATGTCAGTTTAGCACTGAGTGTCTGTGTGTGTCTCACCTCATCACAGTGGAGTGGCAGACATCTTAACTGGCACAGTTTTTTCCCGTTGACACAACGACATGACAGGCAGCCTTCCTCCCACTCTGATCCTGCCTGGCTCAAACACACAAAAACACACACACAATAAGATTTATATTCACTCACTAGAGTTTTGAAATGCAGGTAATATGACAGCCTGTCTTTCCTTCATGCACACTTGCATCACTGTCTCAGTCAGTGCAGGTTTGATGCAAGTGCAAGTGGTCATAGCTCATGTTCTATTTCTTCAGTGAATCCACTAAAACTCTGGCTGCACTCTTGTGCATTATTTAGATTATGGAGGCCTGTTATGATGCTGTAATTATAACAACACATAATAAAGACTACAACATATATTTTATGTGTATGTTAGTTATGGGAATCATTAACAGTGCAACTCGTACAAAAGCACCCACTAGGGAGTGCCTTTGTGACTCACATTGAGCCATTTGCTGTAATAGTAATAATACTGAGGTAGTTGATTAGAAAACCATAGAGGGTCTTTATATGGACATTAGTTATAAACAGCTGAAAGACACAGAGAGAGAAACAAAGTAGACAGGAGAAAGAAAAAGACTGAAAGGGGCATATGAAGGGAGAGAAAGACGATGACTGAGGAAGAGGGGACAAAGAAAAAAGGGATGGAGAAAGTGAGTGCCTGAACTCAGATCCTGTAAAGAAAGCACAAGAGGGACTAATGACAGATAAAGCAGAGGTATGAGAGGATAAATAGAGAAACAAAGAGAGAATGAAAGAGAAAGGCCTGAAGAAGAAAGATCAAGAGGGCGTCTGTCCACTTGTCAGTGTATGATTAATTCTTATAATCCTATAATATCCCCTCCATCATAAATAATTCCTGGCAAGCTTGCCAAGTTGCGGTCCAAGTGCTGGCTTTCTACGACACGTCCTACATAATTGATGAGGCTGTGGGCTGAAGAGGCTTTGTGGTGTAATGTGGCCCCCGGGGCATGTCACTCATCTTCTAATAGGCCCTTCTTTATGAGTAAATAACACAATGGGAGTGAATGGGAGGAAACGTAAACACCACGCTAATGGTAAGGTTCAGTCAAACGCCACAATGAGGCAGGCACAATGGGTACAAGATGCCAGGTTAGCTGGGCATCAGATGTCTCTTTACTTTGAGTGAAAGCCAGAGTGTGTGTGTGTGTGTGTGTGTGTGTGTGTGTGTGTGTGCGTGCGTGCGCATACCTCCCGCAGGATGCCCTGGTCATGGCAGGGGCAGAGGGCAGGAATGACACACACACCCTCTGTGTTTCGGTAAAGCCCCTCCCGACACACACAGCCCTCGGCGGAGCGGCTGCAGTTGACGGGAGAGGAGTAAATGTCCTGGCAGCTCCTCTCGCACAGTGGGACATCCTCCGACACGCTCCTCTTCCATTGCTCCCCGACAGGACATGCTGAAGGAGAGAAGAGAAAATAGAAAGAGGAGGGAGGATGAGACAGGAGGATGGAATAAAGTAGAGTAAGGGTGGTATGGACAAACAATGAGGGCAGGTACAATATTAATCAGCATTTTTCCCACTGTTTCTCTCTCTTGCGGTCACACAGAAATTATATTAAAGCAAATAACAATTAACATCAATTGACCATTTTCTAAACCCCTCCCCCAACAGCGGCGGAAAGCATAACTAGGCACAGTGGGCCTGTCAAGCTTTGGATTTCTCTACATTCACAGGTGGGTGGGGCTGTGGTAAGAGTGCAGAATATTAAAAGACTAATTATACCCAGTTAGCTAATTCCTATTTTTTGGGGGTTACAGGTCATGTTAAAAAAAAAAGCCCTGACGTTTTCACATCCATTGGGTAATATTTGTTTGATACTGTGTAGAAGTCCTAACCTTGCTGAGCGTGATCACAAAATCACGACAAACCATCTGGCTCAGTCAGGTTAGGGAAATCCTGCACGCTGACAGAGTTTAGGCTAATGTTAGCAACTTTGTCCTGCTCTGTATTGGATTTGGGGAAGCTTGAAGTTCAGCAACCACAGGCAGCATTTTCTCTTGTAACGTTAAAGTGAAAACATACTGTTTGAAAATAAAAACAAGTATGTAGAGTAAGCTAAGCAGCCAAACAAGGGTATGTTAGAATGAAACAACGGATCCTATATTTGTCCTGATCATACTTATTAGAGAAGAACTGACTACACTGCAATACAAGAACAATGCAGTGTTCCTTTATGATGATCAATCTCCCCTCTTCTCACACACCACAGTCAGGGGCCATGCAGGTCGTGGTGCTGTGGTCAGGGCCCTCACATGGGGCCCCTCCATACTGGCTGGACAGCAGGATGATTCTGGTGGAGCTCTGTCGGCCTGTACCACAGCTTGCTGAGCACGGACTCCACGGGGACCAGCTGGACCACTCACAGTCCACTGCAGGAGGAGAGGATGGGAGAAGAATATAAACATAGGTCAGTGTTAGTTTACTTCATTTACCTGCAGCAGTAAATAAGAATATAGAATATATTTAGAAATAAATATAATAGAAAATATTTTTCATCTGAGCACTTTTCCTCAGCTAACCCAAATAAAACAACAATTGCGGGTATTATGCCCACATTGCTTTTTATTAAAGTCATCTGTTAACTGCGAGACCTACCAGAAATAATGCCGAGAGAGGCAACAGGAAGGCAATGTCAACATAAAAATGATGCACAGAATACTGTAGTTTTTTTATTGTGTACCTTTTTGGGCAAAGTATCACCAAAGACTGTTATATTTTAAGATTTGGTTTCATAGGCGTCATAGTGAAAATACAGCAATAGAACGAGAGATGGAACAAGAGAAATAAAGAAAGGGAGAGTGAAAAGAAAAAGGCAAGAAAAAGGACACAAAAACGAATCCCTTGTAAATTTGGGAAATACGGACTCAGATTCAGTATATTGTGATATATTGCTTTTTTTTTTAAAAGATCTAATTTTAGGAAAACTGTCAAAGTATGAAGAACACACCACCATATGCATACAATGTGAGTAACATCATAGTCCTCAGTTTACATTTACAACACTTTTATCTAACGGTTGGAGGTTTAAACACAAAAATCGATACAGTGTTTTGGAGAATCAATACAATATCACAAAACAAAATATTTTCATACTCAAGTGTATCAATATTTTCTTACACCCCTACAACTGCTATGCTGCTCACTCCAACAGCCAGAAGCATTGCCAGGGGACTACTGTTAACTTTGGCTGTCTGAGATGATTTTTGACGACTGACTGTCAGAAGTCAAGCCTGTTTTATTCTGTGTGTCATCACTAATTAGGGCATGAACTGCTCTCTCTGATCAGTGTTAATAAAAGATCATTGATCTTGTTCTTACTGGTTGGAAGTGCTGTCACTACCACAAACACATTCCAACAACAGTATTGTCTTTAAATGGAAGCTTATTTTCAACATTGTTGTTGCCAGAGAGGAGGATGAAAGACACTTCTGAACGATGACCGTTAAAAACTTAGGTCAAACCACAGATCTATACACACATTCCAGTCTCTAACGATGATACAAGGGGTTCCACTTTCTGACAATCTACTCCCCATTTTTAATTTTTTTTGCTCTTTCTCCCCCCACTAGTTCAAGATGGCATTGCGTGTTTATGAAACAAAAACCCAGTAATGGCCTTTGTAGGCTGTGATTGATGTGACTGTCGCTCAGTTATTTGAGCCAACTGTTACCGCAGCTGTTACTAACTATAGATAGGTTGACATATCTATCGTGGTCCTGACAGTTCAAAGAGTATTGTTGCTGGTGATTTCCTTGCTACAAGAGACAGGCCATATAAAGTGCATAAATGTGTTTCATAAGAACAGCTGTGACAGAGCATCACTCACCATCACAGAACTTGGAGGTACAGTTGAACGCTCCTCCTTGGCATACACTGGAGAAAGTTAGAAGAATCAGGTGAGGGACAAACAGTAAGGTTGATATTATTGAACAATGAGACACCAAAGCACTCATCATGTCCCCCAGCTGAGGCCATCAGACTATATTAAAATGAGTATCAAAACAACTGTGAGGGAGATGAAATGACTTACGGCATGTCTGCAGCATGCCAGACTATCTATTACAGCAGATATCATAATACCAAACCGGATTGTTGTTGATTGTAGAGTTCAGACAATGAAATTCAACTCTGCCAATACCCCACAACACTTTAAAAAAATCAACTCAAAAATGAATAGAGTAGCATTTTCAATTAAAAAATATCACTGTGAAAATGACTACAGTTATCTTCGTAGATTATAAATAAATCATACTTACCATAAATCCCTGTGCATATTACTGCAAAGACAGTTTTTTATTTCAATCGTTTAAATACACATGATGTTTTTACAGGACTTTGTTCTACTGTCAGACTTTGAGGATGCAGTTTTCATCCAATCTCCTTTTTTAACAATCTCCCCATAACCTTAACCCAGTAGTTTTAGTCTTAATACTTAATACTTTACTGAGATTAAAATCCCAAACATGGAACTTGAAATGTTTTCCACTGACTGAAAGAATTAGAGACTGACTATACTAAGGAATGTTTTAACAAATGATTGCAAAGTGACTTGTGTCTCTTCAGTTGACACATGTTGCATCTTTCATTCATAAAATGAAGCTAGACGAGATTAAGAATTATTATCTAAGAAAAAAAAAAAAAAAAAAAGAATATAGTTGCACACTGTACCCAAGATGTTATAAATAAAGACCCAGATAATAAGATCACTCAAATAAAGTGAGAAGAGTGTATTACTCTAGATTTTAAGTTTTGTTTAAGCTATTGTAAAAAGTACTGACGCAAATGATGCTGCATTCATTCCTTGAATGAAGTGATGGAAATCTAAATCAACTAATGTATTACAGCTCATACCTAAGAAATTATTAATAAGGTATATTATTGTCTGTTCATGTAGACATGCGATCTTCATTCAATAATAGAATTGGGTGACTGGCAGGACTTTTAAATTGATGAAATACAGCCACTGTTGCAATGCATCACAATGTTCTTTAGAAGGGCTGGATGAATGAACACATTAATGTACAGGAAACCAGTCCATTTTTTTAAATGAACCCACATCAATGAAAATGTCTCAATAACACAAACTGAAGTGCGTAAGTCAGATGCACTTTCAGTCCAAGTCAAGTTCACTGACCACACAGAGTCATACTCCTCATCCGCTCTGTTTGGTGTTACTTTTTTATGTTGTCCTCACCTTTATCTGCTTCCAGTAAGATACTTATATTATGGAGTTACTACTTGCAGCCTCTCTTCACAGGATTTTTTTTTTTTTTTTTTCTGCATGGACCATGTCATTCAGAAGATCCAGCCTCTGAGTATTACCATGTGTTGCAGAGGTGCTGAATGGCTGTTCCAGGAGGAAAAAATGCTTCTGTGATCTCCTCAGTGCTGACATTCCAGCTTCGGTAACCAGCCGGCAGGGACAACGGTGAACAAGGACAGTTGGCGTGGGACACACAGGAGCCTTCATGCAACACCTATGAAGGAAACAATGAGACAGGAAAGAATCAGATCTTATTAAGGGGTAAAATTAAATTCTATCCAACCACACACAAATTGAGGTGTCCAAACCTGTCCAGGAGGGCAAGCGCACCCAGGGGTGCAGGGTCCAGGTAAACACTGTGTGTGTGGCCACAGGTCCTCACAAGTATATGGACAGGAACCTGAACAGTCACTAAACACCTGCCCACTTGGACACTCTGCATCACACATAGACAAATGAACATACAATGGATTACATCATGTCTCGTACATATTTCAATACATAGACATATTTTCTTTCTCTGTACAATCTATGTCTTCAGAAAAGATAGACTCAGTCACATTTGAGATCACACTTTCGACTACACAACACTGTAAATAAACAAACAGAAGATACCATTATATGCCATAGTATAATCCAGGAATTATATTGCTTGGTAGAAATATAATACATAAATGTGCTAAATTTCCAACTTTCAGTGATGTGTTGGTTACCAGGCAGGCAGCTGTTGGTGTTGCAGATAGTATGCTGTTCAAGGGGTCCAACACAAACCATCCCACCAGGCTCTGGCTCTCTAAGTACTGTCTTGTTCCGCACTGATACACCGCCACCACAAGTGGCGCTGCACTCACTCCAGGGTGACCACTCGCTCAGCAAACATCCCACTGGAGAGAGAGAGAGAGAGAGAGAGAGAGAGAGAGAGAGAGAGAGAGAGAGAGAGAGAGAGAGAGAGAGAGAGAGAGAGAGAGAGAGAGAGAGGACACGGAATTGACAGATAAAAACATAAACATAAAACAGACTTTTTAAGACCCCACGGACACCGTGTATGATGTAAAAGATTTTGGGACATTCTCAGACCTGGACATGATGACATGTCACAACTCTCGGTTTCCATGGTGTCAGCACAGGAAGGGCCGCCTTCTGTGTCCTGGCATGGGCGTGTCCTTGTCCTCTGGCCATGCCCACAGGAGGCTGAGCAGGAGCTCCATGGGCTCCAGGGCTCATAAACCGGGCAGGGAAGCTTGGTGCACACCAGATCGCCATTCTCACACACACTGCAGATGGGGGGGTTGGAGAGGTGAGAAACATGCTTAATCTCATAGTGAGATTAGTGGAAAAGAAGTCTTTAATGAGAGAATAAATTTTCTACTAATATAACAGATCAACTTGAACAAACTTGTAATTTTGACTTTTCACATCTAAATATTTTACTGACAAAGCCGTTCTCACCACGTGTTACAGTCCACAGAAAGCTTCTCTTTAGGGATGAACTCCAGTGTCCCGTTCCCTGATGCGATACCGCAGCGACACTCTGTAACTGACACACAGTGGCCATCCTGCAACAGTTGTCCCTCTGGACACCGACAACCTATTAAAAAAATTTAAGAGAAAAGAACAATGTAAAATAACGATATGTTGCTGTCTGATACAGAAATTAGAGAGACCTTTAAGCTAATGTTCATAGTAGAAGTCTAAGATCACCTGGGTGGCAGGCTCCTTGGAGACACTGCACATGTTCCCATAAGTCAGTGCAGCTGCGAGGACATTGATTGGCACAGTTCTCTTGGTAGGTCCGCCCCCTATCCTCACAGCGCTCACCTAGGAAACAAAATAAATCAATCTTTTCCACTCCACAATTTGCTGATGGAGGTTTCTACTTTCCTTTCTGTTAACCTCCCTAATGTTTGTGGTGGTATGTAAATAAAGTATAGTGAGTTTTAAACAAAGGAAGAGTTGTACCTGGGCAGAGTCCTGTGTTGCAACTCTGGCTCTGTGTCTGTTGGCTCTTACAGTGGGGTCCTGGAGGAGAGGCCAAGGGCCATCTGTATCGCTGCCTGACTCCACCACTGCATGGCTCTGCACAGGCCGTCCAGGCGCTCCACACACTCCACTGACATAAATCTAGAAGGGTTAAATCATTATCATAACCACCATCAACTCTGTTCTCATCCTAATTATAATGACTGCAATTATCATAATGACTGCTGTAATAGCTGTAATTTCTGTTATCATCACCATCATCAACAATAACAAAAGCGTATTCATTGTTTATGGACATAATCATACTTGAGCTGGTGAGATGTTTGATTTATATTTAAGATTAGAGATTAGAGTTTGTTAATTATCTTGTTTGTTTATCCTCATGGAGCAGTTTTACATATCTGGACTATGATGAAGTACAAGCCTTAAAATATTTGACAGGCAAATCAAACCTAAGGTCCATTGGGCATGGTAGTAAATTAGAGCCATTCATATCCAAAGGGGAAGGGCCAGCGAAGATAGAGTTAAGTTCAAGATGAATTATTCATTGCACACATACAACGCCGAATCCAGTCAACCTCATGTTTCCCCACGGACACATGGCCATCAAACTATTCTTTTCTTCAAATCCTAATTCCATTTTCACTCCATTGGGGAATAATGAGAATAGGGCAGTGGGGATGCACAACACCATTTTTCACAGTAGATACTGATTGCAAGCTCTTAAACAGTCTACTGATGGTAACTATTAATCTGAACTGGCAGCAGTGAACTGACACACAATAAATACTGACTGAAACACCAATGAAAACCTAAGGATAGAGACCACTTTGTGTCAATTAGTATTTACACATCTAACTGAACAAACATTACATGAAGTTCTCCAAGGCTCCATTCTCTGGCCTCTTCTGTCCAACCTCTACAGCTATCTCCCCACTAGCTTAAGTTATGGAAAAAAAAAAAAAAAAACTTACCAGAATTATGTCAGTGACCCTCACATTTACATAACAATGTCACAACGACTACATTTAACAAATCAATGATTTAGTGGGCTTAAAGTTTCCTCCATATGTTGGTGTAGTCACTGTTACTCTTCCACATTAAGACAATTACAAATTCAGCATATTATCATCTTACAAATATATCAAGAATTAAATGACTTATGATTCAGCAGGATTTATTTATCTTTAATAGGCTCAAGTCCTGTAACTGAGTCTCTCTAAAAAGTCGATCAGGCTTCTCATTCCGAATACTGCTAAACCCCCATTTCTTCTGTTTTATTCCATTTTAGCTTATATTTATCCTATATCTTCCTGTATTGGCTTGTGTCTCGTATACAACTTGTCTTAATGCTTTTTATGTGTTATGTAAAGCAGTTGGAATTCCCTTGTTGTTGAAAAGAGCTACACAAAAAAATTTGCCTTGCATTGTATTAAGCCCATATTTTGGCATAAAAGTATTTCCCTCTCCTCCCCAGAGAAAGTCATGGCAGACTTATTCCATCACCACAGTCCCTCTCTGACCTAATCTGCGATTAATTTTTCCTATGGTGCCATGCTTGTCTAGCTCTGATTAGTTCATTGCGTTGTCTGCATACAATCTTATGGTGGGAGCAAAGTATCAAACTGCTGCAACATGCTGAGGGGAACTCGGGTGGAGCAAAACTGTCCCATTCATTACTTTCCCTCGCTGAGGAGTTCAAGGAGCAACTGGAGCTTGACAAGGCAGACTGAGGAACTGACTGCATTTCTGGACTAAGATAAAAGACTTAATTCAGAGTAAACCTGTTTGTGTCCTCTTGGACAAACACCATTACCTCTGCAGATGTTAACATGTGGACAGAGCCTCTCCTCCACCAGTGGTCCTGGACATTGGCTCTCCTTCTCCTCCTCTCTAGAGACTGGAAGACCAGATTCCAAGTCCAAACAGGCCCGGAAACGCTTCTGGATTGAGACCATGTTACTGCCATTGATAACTCCTGCTTGGAAGGTGCTGTGCTGCAGGAAGGCAGCGGGTACACAGGGAGAACATGGAGTCCACTCAGACCATTCGCTGAGGATGACTGAAAGAAAGGTAAGAAAAAACAGGGTATCAGGGAGATGGGATTATTCAACCAGGAGCTATTTACTTTACTCTCATAACTCTACTTTCTTACCTTCACACTCTCTCATGTCACACTGCAAAATGCCATCATGGCAAAGGCTGGAGGACAGAACAGTCAAATAGATGACAATAACAGTAAATATGTCAAACTGAGTAATAGATCACAGAGAAACAGACAGGCAGAGAGCAAACAAGAAGTGGATAAAAAAGAAATAGCAGAGAATGATTAAGATGCAGCACAGAGACACAAATACAGTGGTAGCCATGGTCAGAAGCGCCTCATACTGCATTCATCCTGTTTTAATGCAGTGCTTGGCACTGCAACAACACAATTAAAAACACAGTTGCTGTTACTGAGAGAGTCTCAGACTTTCTGTCTTGTAAAAGATGAGTATCAAGCTCCTCTGGTGTAACATGACTGATACAATAGATACAATAGTCTCCATGTGTTTTGAACATCCTAGGTCTTACCAGGTACTGCAGCCTATGGTGACCGTGGCCCCCTGAGGGACAGTGACAGGGGTGGGTGGTTGTCCTGAAGCTTGGTGCTGCAGATGGACGCAGCCACACTCCTCTGCAGGAACACAGCTACCGTTCTGCTGCAGCAGGCCCTGAGAGGGAAAACACACAATTCACAAAAAAGAATAGCATAATGGTGCAGTGGTAGTGTTTTTGTTTTGATTCATTTGACTTTAATATGGAGAGAAAAAAGATATGCAAATTAAACCCAACAGCTCTTTTTCCTTATCTACAATATAATGCATTTATGTTGGAGCTAGGGCTTGTTTTTACATTTAAAGCAGCTAAAATCTATATTTTTATAATAACAATATATCAAATAACAATGTGAAAGCAGTATCTAGTAGTGATGAACCTACACAGATTTATCAGCTGAATAGCAGCTCCCCTCAGTTTTACTGATCCATATAGTGAGTTTGAACTCATTGTTTTGTTGTCTGGCTGCAACTTCACTGTTTTGGTTCACTCTCACTGCTCTCATAATGTCATTTTTGGCTACAGCAGAGAGCTGTTTTCTGTAAAAAAAAAAGCTCTTATAGACCCACTGTACACCTGTTTCTGCTGCCCCCAAGTGGCCAAAGAAATCAATTATTGCAGGTCTAAGTATTCAATGAAGCATAAAACTAATCAATAGTTATTAAATGATTTATGGTAACTGCCGTGTCCTAGGCCTCTGGTGATCTGCTTTCTGTTTCATATTTCATTATCTTCCTTCCCTGCTGCTGTATGCGTGCATCATCAGTCTATCAGAGTGGATTTTTCTGGTTTTTGCAATAAATCAAAGTTGGTAGCTCCCAAACTGGGCCAAACAACATTATAAAATTGTCACATCAAAATGATGTATTAACAACAATATGCAGCACAGCATATTTCACTTTCTAAATTCATGCCAGTATATTTTTGCAGTGGTCTCATATAGATAACTGTCTAGTCTAGCAACATGCAACTATTTTTACATGCAGAACAATGTTGTCACATTTGTTTTTAAAATGTTGCTAATTGCAGAAACATTTTAAAGCTCCACAGTGCAATCGTAGAGTTAGTAATAACTGCTGCAGAACTGTAGCAGAACCTTCGGACCACACAGAATTTTATTTTTGATCGTTCTGTTCTCTCTACTTTAAGTGTATTCAGGTGTAGAATTAAGATCCAAATATAGAATGTGCATTGCCAGGTGTGTTTGCAACTATGATGTGAGGAACATGTCAACATATCACATAGATCAGCTTGCTTTGCATTACACTAATTGTCTAAAACAGTCTCATGTATGTCTTCAAAGAGCAGCAACCAACATCAGATCATTTTCAAATAGTGAACATTGAAGACAGGTTGGCTTTGTTGTGAGTAAAACAGTGTGTCAATGTGGATTTCAACAAAGCTGACCCTGTACACACTATAAAACAGACTAATGAAGTATTCACCTGTGGGCAGTAGCAGCCAGATGTACACTCCTTGACGCCTAAACACTGATCTCCATGGCCCTGCAGTGCACACTGCTTCTCACAGGGAGCACCGCATGCTGAGTACACAAATGGGGCTTCACAATCTATAAAAATAAAACAAAACATGAAGTAACAGTACCAAGAAGCACAAAATCACACACACACACACACACACACACACACACACACACACACACACACACACACACACACACACACACACACACACACACACACACACACACACACACACACACACACACACACACACACACACACACACACACACACACTTTCCTGGATGTCCATCTGCTTTTTTAAGGGTATGAAAAAAAGATTTAAGTGCACTTGAAGCAAAAGGGCAATGTCAGGGTCACAAATAATCCCTTTTATCCATACAGATTCAAACAGAATACTTTTTTTTTTACCATGGATGTTAACTCACCATCACATTGACTGAGACTGCATGTCCTGCTCTGCGTTTCAACAGGAGTGCACTGTTGACCCCTGGTGGCTGGGGAGAGAGCTACACGGTAGCGCTGCTGCCTCTGAGACACACAGGAGCACGGAGACCACACACTCCACTCCGACATGGGACAGCCTGCAGATGAAAACAAATCAAACAATCTGATGCTGCATGCAGGTTTATTCAAACACCTCATGTTATTTGTGATTCACTTAGAAGTAGTAGCACTTAAACAGTGTTGGTCCTGGTGAGTCCATTGCTAAGTTAACCAGTATGTAATGCATCTATTATTTATACCAAACATTGGGTTATCCTCTTTTACACTCAACAGTAGTACAGTTATAGCAGAAACAAAATTAAATTAGCAACCATGATGAGCTGACACTAACAATGACAAACAGTCCAATAATATCAAATTAATCATTAATTGATTTAATCATTAATCAACTGCCAAATTTAGCTCGGGTCAGAGCTGGAAAACATATTTATTGAATTATTGAATATCAATCCAAACTAAATGTAATCATCACAATCTTAAATAAATATATGATCTCTAACTCACTTAGATTGACTGAACAGTTATTGCATCATACCCACAATATAAACCAAACATTAAATAATGAATCAGGACAAACAAGTGAGCATACACAAGGAAATATTGTGCACTAATGTATTTAAAATGTAATCATTACATTTATTGTTACTGAGGTAAATATGAGAATGTATTGAGATACAGAACTTATTATTGCCTTAAAATACATTGGCAACATTCAAATAATAATTCATTTTAATTTGCTGTCTGCGACAAACACTGTTTTACACTCATAAATTATTGTCTCATTGTATTGCCTTAAGAGAAAAAGGGCGCACACACACAAAATGACCACAACCATAAGTAACATTTGTTGAGTCTTATCTGCATGTACCTGGACAGGGCCGTTTGTAACACAGCTGGGTCTCCTCTCTGTTCCTCTCAGCCTCGATCTCAGCGGGACACGCTGCATCTCCTCCCTCCTCACACACGCACACCCTGCGCCGGGACACAGAACCTGCGCCACAGCTTCGGGAACATGGTGACCATGGCGACCAGGGGCAAAGGTCATCTGTAGACAAGAGAGTCAATATGATCAGAGCAAATGTGAGCTGTATTTACTTACTTCATAATCTTGCTTTGTCTTCCAAGATTATACATACAGTTCATGCAGTATGAAATGAAATATAACTGGAATAGACAGATACTTAATACTAGATGGCTATGAATGAATGAATATAATCGTGGCATTTCTGAACAAACCCAGACAGGGAGGAGTGTGACAGTCCTGTGTTTCTCTCTCTGGCCCGCTGCAGTGAGACCCGTTGTTACGTGGAGGGGGGTTAATGCAGGCGTGGGTTCGAACCTGTGTGCCTCGACCACAGGTCACTGAGCAGTCAGACCACACTGACCATGGGGTCCAACCACCGTCCACTGGAAACAATACACAGGATTTGACACATTTGACACACATCAAAAGTAAGCCAGTACTGTAAGCTGAGTACATAGTTTAAAACATTAGTAAAAGTGCCTATGTTTTTCTACCACATTTAGGCTTACTTAATTTTGTCTTTAAAATAAATACAGTGACCCACCTCTGCAATCAATGTCTTGGCAATAATCTCCCTCTGGTGTGCATGTGCTAGGAGGAAAAACAAATTTGTGTTTGAAACACAAAGTGGAATCCTTTAAATTGTCTTTTCCTTTTCAGTGCAAACCCTTTTACGGCAACATATACTTTTCCTCTGTGTTTGTGTGCATCCATCTCACCATTGTTTACACTCGCCCTGTAGCCAGGTGTCTCCCACACTGAGCTCCTTGTCACCATGGAGACAAAGAGGTGGGCAGGGTCCTGGGTCGCAGGATTTATGCTGGACTTCCTCAAACTGGCAATCTGTTCCTTCAGTCTCTGGGATCCGAGACCTGACACACAACAGTGACACAAACAGTTTGTGTTTACTGGTTTACTGTATATTCTCAATAGAAAGAAATATATTTCTTTGAGAGGGTGGATATTACAGTTTTCAATTAATGAACAAAAGCTACAGCAATGTTATCATAAGCATAAACATGTATTTGTGAGTTTTCTTTCCACACCTGTATCTGGTTCTCTGGCCCTGCCCGCAGGAAACGCTGCACAACGCCCAACTGGACCAGGAGCTCCAAATGCAGGAGGCCTGGCAGCTGTGATTGGTGCAGAGCAGCTGTCCGTCAGAGCAGCTGCAGTTGTTACAGTTCACCTGATGCCAGCTGCCGGCTGCCCAAATCTGTCCCAGTGAGTCCACGCAGTCACACTGCCACAGCTGCACACACACCCCATCTTGCTGCAACTGGCCTGGGGACACAGACACACACACACAGTAGTTATTTAAACTTGTTAATGAACACACATAATGATTTTATTAGGCCCCACTTCATTAGCATCTGGGTTAGGGCCATAAAAACCCCACATTTACTTCGAATAAAATGGGTTCCTCATACACAAAAAATTAGAGGGTAATTTAACCAAAATAGTAAAAAGACATATTTAGTCACCAACCTCTGCATATGCAGATTGTTTTTGTTTTGTTTGACCACGTTTTGAGGTATCTGTCAGAGATTTCTGCCTCCAACACAATACAGGAGTAAATTGAAACTCCATTTGTGTTGCTCACAGAATTAGAATTAAAATGACTTTTGATGACAGCAACATCTATTTTCAAAAAACAATTTCCGCATTACGTCTAAAGAAAAATCAATAATTTTGATGGAGACTATGTATTTTGAAATGCAATGCCAACGTTAACCCCCCTCAGAAAAAAAACAAACAAAACTCTCTAAATTTTGTCTTATTATCTGTATTTTTCAAGTTTACTTAATGCATTGTCTGTAAATTTTTATTTTATACATGAAGGTTTGAATTCTTTCCTTAAGGATATAGTCTGATAATTGTTATTTCTTATTTATATTAAAAGACATCTAATTTTAATATGCCGGGTTTAAAAATGGAATCTATCAATAAAATACCTGTCATGTGTACATTATTTAATTTAGAATTCTAAAATAACTCCTCAGGGTGCTGAAACACCAACATATATATATAACAATATTTAAGGCCAATCTGTAATCCAGTTTTACCTACTGTAATAGTGACCATGGTCATCACTAACTTCGTGTTAACAGCACCCAGGCTCATTCAGATACAGCTTGTGCACACACAGACACAGACCATATTTTGAATACCAGCAGGCACAGAACCTTAAGGGAAGAATCACCTACACACAAACATGCACACAAACATGCACACAGACACAGACACAGACACAGACACACACACACACACACACACACAGCACACACACACACACACACACACACACACACACAGACACACACACACACACACACACACACACACACACACACACACACACACACACACACGGGCTTATCTGTGTGACAGATATGATAGCAACCTCAGTACCTTTAGGGCAGCGACAGCCGGGCTGACATTCGGTGTTGCCCTGGCACTCTATTCCCTGCTGAAGGTCTGAGCACCGCTGTGGACACTGGTTTGCACACGACACAAACTCCTGGCCCGGCGGGCACCCTTTTTCATCTGACAATACACAAACAGAAGGTCATGAATTTTTCCCATGATGCCGCAGGCATTTACTTCGCATAACATGGCACACCAAGAATGCTGATCACAGGCTGGGCTGACTTTTGGAACACAAAGACTTCCCTAGAAACATAGCCATATGCTGAATTAATGAGCAATCATCTCTGCACAGAATGAACTATCCTTGAGGTCACAGCAATCTGAACTCAACAGGCGTATGTGAACATGTTGGGTCTGTCTCACCGCAGGGTTTGGTGTTGCAGGGTTTGACCTGATTCTTCTCTCCTTCACACTTCTTCCCACCGTTCTTGGGCGGAGGGCTGGAGCAGGAGCGGGTGCGTATGGAGCGGCCGCCACCACAGCGCTTATCACAGCGGGACCAGGGACTCCAGCGAGACCAACCTCCATCCACTACAGCATGAACAAACAAACACGAACATCAGCACAGATTTAAAATGATACCAGTATTTCTGTAGGTTTTATACAAATGTACTGAACACTAAAGTTTATTACAACTAGGGTCTTATTTTCATGTTCTTGGCCATAATTTCTATTGGTTATGATAATGTATTCAAAGTCATTGCTTGCAAAAACTGACTTGATGGATACAATGGTATATTGCTGCAGACTGGAACTTTAAAAAGTACTGGTGTTGTGAAAAACTAGAATTATCCCTTTAATCCATTTCTAAAACAGAGACTAAGGTGTGTTTTTACAACCTTTCAGGCAGTGAGGCTGGATTATCCATCAAAAATGGGCAACAGACCTACAGGTTCACCATGTGGCAATTACTTGGTCATTTCATTCAAAATGATTCCACAAAAGCACAATATAAACTGAATTGACAGGGAACAGCGAGACACCCACATTATTTCATCTCATCTTGAAGGGGGAGACGTTTGAGTCCACAGTTTTGGCCACAAGAGCCCTTAGTTAGTTAAAATACAACTTACTACACAACAATAATGTAAATCTGATACTTATCACAAAAGTGGCTCACTGTAAAAGCCTCTACTGTTAGATTTTCTTAGCCTATCTTTGTGCTCAAGACAGGATGTATAGTGAGGGCTGATTGGTTGGCTGACCTCTGCAGGGCCTGATGTTACAGAAGCGATTGTCCAGGTTTCCTCCCAAGATGTCTTCACACCACGAGCCGTTGGTCCCGGGACTGTTGAAGGTTCGGATCCTCTGCTGTTGACCCACTCCACAGGACCGCGAACAGGAACTCCACTCCCCCCAGTCTGTCCATGAACAGTTCCTCTGCGCACAGTCAGGCCCTACACATACCTCGTCTCCATCTGGGAACATATTACACAAGTCATAAGATTGTTTGATACAGTAGTTGAACATCTGTGGGCTTACTCTAATTAATTGTAATACTTTGGTTAATTGCTGGTATCACAACTCCTTTTATATTTCTTACACCTTTCATTCCAGTTTACTTTAATTACAATAAACGTTTGTTTACGGCATTTATAGTTATGTGGCAATATTTATTCATTGTCACATAAAATGTAAATATTATAAATATTCAAAGTCAGAATAATGGCTGAATCATGAGAATGAGAATATTATTCATAACCTAGTCTCCCTAGCCTCTGCCATTTAGTTATCTTCCCTCACTACTCTGTTGTGTGTACACACACAGACGCACAATTCACACAAACTCATACACATAAACAACATTTTTTCTGAAAGGTATTCCCGTTTGTTTCGGCATGCACCCGTTGTTGGAATAAAAACTTTAAACACTCAGCCGGTCACATTTGAATAAATGAGATTGTATGTACACATACAACTTCACCCTATTCTCAAACAGAGTTGCAAAATAAAACAGCTTGCCTGTGCTGATCTCTTCTGATGTCTGTGCTGATCAGTAAATAAAACAGCGAGACCACTACAAAATCTGCTCTGTTGTCTCTGAGATAAGCATGGTTAAAAATCACAAACCAAATTACGACACAAATCCCAAACAGCAAACCAACAGATGTTATGGAACTCATTTTTTGTAGAGATCATTATGTGTATCATATGCTCGCTCACACACAGGCTGTTTATTTCTGCAATGGCAGTTTTCATTTTATCACAAAAGGAACTATAGCACTCTACTATTAGATACTTTACAGACAACAGTACCTTGCTTCAGTTCTCCCATATATATCTGACACTGTGGCCTCCTGTGTCCATAACCTCCAGGCTCCCATAGACTCTCATATTGATTGATTGATTTTCAGGAGATGCACTGTTTAATACTTTAAGGCAGCAAAATATAACAGGCTTACAATGTAAGCGAGCAGATGGTTTGTAAAATCTAAATTTAACTGCTACAAGGACATTGGGTTGCAACCACAGACTGTGAAAACAGCAAAGATAAGAGATAATGTGAGTCGCCGTACCTGGACACTGGGGCAGGTTACAGGCCTTCTCTTGGTGAGAGCTTCCGGAGCAGGGTGGTTTTATACACTGTCGATGACGGGACTTCATGGCTGGGCTGAGAGTATTAGTGCAGGTCTTCATGCAGGGAGTCCATAACGACCAGGGAGAGAAGCCAGCATCCTCATCTAAAGAAGATAGAGGAGGAAATAGGTAGAAGTCATTGAATGTTTTCTTTTGGTCTCATTAAAGAAAAGATGCTAGGAGACTAGATAAACATTACAAATTACAATAGCATGTACCATACAGGCAAATAAATTGTGAAGACCAGCAGGAGAGGAGAAAGCAAAAGGATGTGAAAGAAAAAGGAGAAAAAAAATACAGTGAATGAACAACAGAGAAGACCCTGGCTGGTATTAAACTTTGTATGGAGGGATAATTTACCTGGTAAAGCTGGTTCTTCTGTAGGGCCAACAATAACTGCCAACAACAAGCAAAAAATCAATATCAGTGAACAATTAGGCATTGGGCAACATATACTGTCTCTATTATGACTATTTATAATGGATGCAAATTAAAGACAGCCTTTTATAATTAAATAAAGTTTATGATTAAATTTAGTGTATAAACACTCATTCCAAACCAATCTCTTTTACTGCGACTGCTGGTCATTGAAACAAAGTGTCATTCCTTCCTTCCAACCCCGAACACACACATTACCTACAGTACCTACTACAACCAAACTAGCCCTTGTACCTGGGCAGTCAGGGGCCTGGCAGTACGTGGTTTCCTGGCGTGGCCCCTGGCAGTCTCTCCCTCCATGGGTTGGGGCAGGCTGTGTGCAGCCCCTGGTGCGAGTCTTCAGTCCAAGACCTCCACAGGACAGTGAGCAGGAGCTCCAGGAGCCCCAGGGTGACAGGCCGCCGTCGACTGGGCAATGCTCCAAGGAACAGTTCCACCTGCCATGTTCACAGCCGCTACAGGGAACAAAGGGGAGGAAGAGTAAGATGTGGTGCTATTGGTCGGAAGAGTTTGACAATGATGATGGAAAGATGACAGCTTTAAAGTTAGAAATGTGGACTTGGGGGCCCATTTTTTCAAATTCATAGTAAAGTATGTGTTTTTAATGTAATGCGCAGATATGCAGATATGCAGATATGTAGATAGAACCTATATATCCTTTAATTGTCCAGCAGTAGAAGACGGTGTCTTGACTGTATAAAAAAAAGAGTAGCTGCAAATAAGTCCAACATTTTCTGCTCACCATGTACTACAGTCATGGACCAGTGTGTCTCCAGACTGAAGTTCCACTCCCTCAGAGATGTTATGGAGGTGTAGAGATGAGACCGGTGCGACAGAAACACTCTGCAGAGAGGCCAGAAACTGTCTGTCCACCAGGCACGGACACTCCTGAAACACACACATTACATTAATTTTTTTTCTTTTTCCAATGCACACTCATTTTACAACAACACGTGTTCACTGGAAAACTTGAAGCAAGTAATTTTGGACTTTATTAAATGTTTTGGAAATATGTTACCTACATTTTGGTCCTTTTGTGTTGCAGGCTTAAATGGTAGTGTTATTCAGATGTATGATACAATGAATCTATCAGACTGCTAAAGGGAACCCACCTGCAGGCAGACTCCATGGTGCTGGTAGGTGTGTGGGGGGCAGTGGCAGCCTTCCTCGCAGCCATCAGAGTAGCAGCCCTCTCTGCCGCTGACCTGAGCGCAGCTGAACGGACAGCCTTCACCTCGTTCACACTCCCTGTACAACCTGCCAGGAGGGCAGCCCACTTCTGCATGCCAGCATCACAGCCCAGAGACACAGATTAAAAAATACTCAAAATCAGAGCTTGTCCACAAGGTTATCCTGGATCCTACAATTCCAATAACTTTGATGTCGTAGCTATAGGTATTCTACAGGAAACCCGGACTCACCGAGGCACACCTGGGTGTTGCAGGTCTTGCTCTGGCGGCTGAGGCCGCTGCAGGGTGGAGAGCTGCATACACGAAAGCGGGACTGCTGTCCTCCGCCACAGCTGACCGAACACACAGACCACTCAGACCAGGGGAGCCACGGGCCCTCCGAGTCTGGAAGCAAAAACATACTGAGAATCAAAGACACAACTGCATGGTAGATTAGGACATATTTCTAATGAAAGCATTGCGTGTTTTCTAAGCGCAATGTAAGAAATCAACTCCTCAATTACATTTGTGTGTTTGAGTCTACAAACTCAATTTCTGGATTGGTCAAACAGGACTACCTGTGCACAGGTGGATGTTGCAGTCTTTCTGCTTTTCAGCGACTCCCAGGCAGCCTCTCCCACCACTCTGAGGGGATGGGTTGTTACACTGACGTCTCCTGAACTTGACTCCTCCTCCACAAGGAAGCGTGCACTCAGTCCAGGCCCCCCATTGGCTCCAGCCTCCATCAACATGGCAACCAGGGACTGATTGACACTGCAGAACCCCTGCCTCACAAGAACTGAGATAAAGTGAGAAAGACAAGGAAACACAAAAATAAAGGAAAATAAATGTTTGATTTTTGTACATGAAATGTAATAAATTTTTTTTTTTTTTACAATAATCAAAGTGTTGTAGAGTTATTCAGTTGTGCTGTACCAGTTTTTGCAGTCACTGACGATGCTATCTCCTGGATTTGCAAACTGCCAATCAGATCCACCAAGCCATACTGATGATGCATTACTGGAATCTAGCCTGCTGGAAGTCATTACTATATCAAAGACAAAAATCTATTGATTAGGCTATTCTCTGAGTTCACCCATACAATGCAATCACTTCCATTAGCAACTGTCACATAAACAAACTGTGGATCTAACCAGTAGCAGAGCTGTTAAGGTATTTGCAGCGACACTCCTCCCTGGCCACACACACTCCATCCTGCAGAACCATGTCACCCGGACAACCGCAGGTCTTTCTGCACCCGGGGGAGTCCAAGCACTCTGTGTCACCATGGAGATCTGAACAGGAGCGAGGACAGGGCTTCCCACAAGGCCATTCTTCCTGGCCTCCGCCACACTCTGCAGAATGGTATAGTTTGAAGAGAATAACACATAGAGAGGAGTATTGAGTTTTAAGGTCTAGTATTCTGTTTAAGATAAAAGGAAACTTGAAACTGGCCAGACTAGACAGGGGAAAGTCAGCCTAATAAAATTAGTGGCAAGTGCAAACTAAAAGCTATCAAAGCTGGAATGAAAAACCAAGAAACTTCTTTATTGTGTGTTAATAAATGAAAAGCATTCCAGAAATAGATGATTGATGAAGTGCAGTGCCGGAGCCTGCTACTTTGCTGTTTATTAGTAACTCCTGTTATCATTCTGTGGGAGCTGGACATGCACAGGAACTTAGGAGGGAAGGGAGAGTTCAGCCAATGCAGAGAGTTCATTAATCTTCCCTTTCAGGCAGGCATTTTATTTTAACAGATCTTTTAGCTTTTTTTTAAAATTAAACTCAAGCAGACGCTTTTCTCTCTCTCAGGCTTCACCACATAGACAGATATAGAAATGCTAATGGCTACCACCTTGTTCCTATATATAATTTCTTTCACCTGAGGTAAAATTTCACTGTGATGGCTATAGAGTGACAGGAAGGGGGGGCATCAAAGGGCCACAGGTCAGAGTCAAACCCAACACTCAGCCTTCTTACATGGGGTTCCAGCTCTATCACCATCTTTTATCCATTTTTTCATCCAGTAATCTCCCTTTTGAAGTTTTCTACACAAATCCACAATTAATATACAGTCTTTTATTTTGCCAACCTGAGCAGATGGTGACGTTGTCATGGCAACTGCGCCTCTGCCTCCTCTCTCCAATGCAGGGCAGACCACCAAACCTGGTAGGAGGACTGTTACAATCCCTGGTGCGAGTGGACGACCCGGCACACCCATCACACTCTGACCACACTGACCAGGGACTCCACGAACCATGGACTAGAGGGAAAGAAAGAAGAGAGAAATGAAGAGAGAGACACAAACAAAGTATGTGTGATCATGTGAGAGTTAAGAATTGAAAAGGTGTAAAGAAAGTGATAACAAAGAGAAGTTATTTTTACCTACCTGCAGTAAAAGACATGGCAAGATAATAAAGACAGACATGTAGATACAAAGAACAGAAGCAGGAGACAATAAAATGGAAGCAATATAAAGGATAAAAGACAAAAAAAAGGAATGAAAGATATCAAAATGCCACTTTGTCAAGTCAAGATGGAGAACAGCCTAATATCTTAAAGAGAGGCTGATCTGGAACCTGTTTTCATTCTCAAGTTACTTAAAATATTAGTTTATTGGGGCTAAATAACCTAGGGCCTGTCATTAGCAACCAATATTAGTTATTACGAGTGTCTTACCTGGACAGAAGGTGATGACCGGGCAGGGCTGTCTTTGGATTTGAACTCCGACCCCACTGTGCATTTCCTGTTCTCCAGAGCAGGCCACTCCTCCAGCCATGGGCTCAGGACAACCACAGCTCCTGTAACGGGACACTGACTCTGCCCCACAGGTCCTGGAGCATGGAGTCCACTCTGACCACTCACACCAGCCACCAGACACTGGAAACACAAAGCAGGATGCAAAATTTACATTTATGGACTGTCCCCGGACATAGTTTCCCCACGATTTTCTGTCATATTGCTATTGTTTTTTGCATGGGTGCGTTCAAAAAGTTTGTCAAAGAAAAGCTGCACACAATTCAGTTAAAATGGTTTTATATGTTGTTTATTCATCATGCATAAGTTGCACTTTCTTCTAAACCTACAGAAAGTTACAGCTAATCTCACTCACCTGGACAGGGGTATCTGGTGCAATTAAGCCTCCCACCCTCACAAGTGCTGAAACACAGAGGAAACAGCAACATCATTATTTTCCTGTCCCTTTTTTCTGGATGTTAAACGTGGTCTACATGAATGAACAGCATTATTCTGACCAGTTGTTACATCCATCAGGGGCTTCAATGGTCTCCCCTGGTTCCAGCCTGTGTCCAGAGCTGAGATCAAGGCAGGGACAGTCTTCTCTCTCTACACAGACTGTCCCGTTAGCAGACAGGACCTTGCCCTCTGTACAGTAGCACCCTGGCTCACATTGCCACTCACAGTGCTGAGGGACAGGAAGAAAATTCCCTTATCATCACCAAAGTTCTTCATTTTTACCCACAAAGCATGACTTATTGTTGGTCAGTCGTACTGGGTGGAAACAGGAGTCATGTTCAGTGTGATACTCACAGCCAAGTCGTCACAGGAGCGAGGGCAGGAGGGACCACAGCTACTGAACACTGTGCCTGGGACTTGTGAGCATGGAGCCACTGAAAACATACACAATGACACACTGTCAAAACACATATAATTGACTGTGCACAAAACTCACAGGTAGAGCACACTGCCTCATGTACATTCTACACCCTGTGTAAACATACCTGGACAGTGGTTAGTGTTACATGCTATGACCTCAGTTCCCAGCCCCTCACAGTAGTTCCCCTCCCCCTCTGGACTGGGACTGTCACACTCTCTCCTCCGGCTTCGAACCCCCCCGCCACATGACTTGGTACACTCTGTCCAGTTACTCCACTGACCCCAGCCACCGTCACCTGGAAAGAGCCCAAACATTGTGATGAAACAGTGAAAATTAAAACAACTTCACAGCAATAAAGATCTATTTGCAGACGCATAAGATCTTGTGGTCTGACTGCACTGGGGAGTGGAAAATCTAATGGCAATATATTTAAATAACAGAGTGTTAGTCAATATAAATTAACACAAAACAAACTCACGGTCACATGGAGCTGTGACGCAGACTTGGTCCTCTCTGTGAGGTCCCAGACATGGCAGGCCACTGCCAGAGCGCTGGGGGCTAGAACAGAACCGGTACCGAGACTGGAGCCCTGCTCCACACGACACCGAACACTGACCCCAGGGAGTCCACATTGACCATCGGCCATCAACTGTAGAGTGTGTTTGCATTTGGAGGAACAGAACAAGAAAGATACAGTTGAACAATGAGGACAGTAAGAACATTTGCATGTTATTCATGTTACTTTTTCATGTTGTTTTGCATCTTTACAGCTTCACTGTCAATAATAACTGTTACTCACATTGGCTGTGATGGCAGCCAATTCATCAAGCATGAGTAGCATGCAAACTACTGTTATTGTTATGCAAACTATGTAAAACCAAACAATAGCAAACACTGTTTTCTACTTAAACAAAGATATGACAACAATGCACACAGAAAAAAGCAACAGTAGCTGTATTAAAGTAAAGATTTAATTCAATGACTTTTTGCCTACCATTGCAGCTGACCTGAGAGCAGTTTACCAGCCTCCCTGTTTCACATGTACTGAGATATAAACACACACAAGTTCAATCATAATTTTATCTCTTCTTTAAATTCAGTATGGCTCTTAGAACAATTCAAGAATAAAATCAGTTTTACAGACCAGTTGTTGCAGTCTCTGGGCACAATGTCTCCTGGGTTGTACTGCTCTCCATCCACATCACAACGACAGTCAGACTCAGGCACACACACACCATCCTGGAAACATGAAGGACCATCAACAATATGGCCGTGATTCTTATATGTGTGTGTGTGTGTGTGTGTGTGTGTGTGTGTGTGTGTGTGTGTACACTTGTTTATATTTAGCCACCTGCCCACCTGTTGGACAGTCCTGTGTGGACACTGGCAGCCTGGTGTGCAGTTCCTGTTAAGGTCCATTGTGAGATCTGTGCATGAGACTGCTCCCCTCACACACTGCTTCCACTCCTGGCCTGAAGGACAGACCCTGCCATCTCCTGACACAGCAACAGAGGCCAAGCAGAAATCAATGAAAACCCTCTCAAGTGTCATCAAAAACATCTGAACGCATTAAAAAAGTGGGAAAATCTGTTCATCTAATTTTATTACAAACTGGACATATGATGTTGCTCAAAACTCATAAGACAGAAGCTGCTTGATGCACCAAAGTAGGATATTCCAATCCAAAACAATATGTTCAGTATCATCCATTAATCTGGCAATGACATTAATTCATTAATTACGAATAAATTCTTTGTGCCTTCTTTTTTACTTTTTTACTACTCTTTTTCTTAGCATTGTTCACATGCTTTCCAGGGTAGGATTTGATATATTAGAATAAACATTACCATTTTTTATGGTTCCCTACGACAACATTGAAATCAAATTTCAATGGACATATTGAAGAAATCAAATTTCAATGAATTATCTGTGTTTTTTTCTACTTTCAACTTATTATTGTTGTTTTCTTGTGCAAATTTTTTTTAATGCAATAAATGTGTGTTAGAAGTTGTATAATAAATTCAGCTGTCTTGTTCAAGAGTACCCACTTATACAGTTCTGATACTATACGTGACAACATTGTTAGATGGGAGTGTAGGTCTTGCTGTACCGCAGGGCTGCAGATTACAGGCACTGAACTGCTGAGCAGTGCCGTGGATTCGGATAGGCCCACGAGTTCGGGTCCTGTAACCTCCTCCACAAGTCACTGAGCACTCGGACCACGCACTCCATGGCTCCTTTACACCTGTAGACACATCACACGTAGATACATCACACGTAGATTAACTTATTTGAATCTGTGGTTAATTTCTTTGAAACAAAACAAAACAAAACATGGATTATGTATATAATAACACCTCACCAAAGCAGGGTTCAATGCTGCAGGTATCAATCCCAACTCTGTCTCCTTTGCAGGGGCGACCCCCGGAAGCTGGAGGAGGATTGGTTCCCGAACGATACCGCCTTCTCACACCAACATCACATGTTCGACTGCAAGCGCTCCACTGGGTCCAGCTGCTCCAGCCACAGTCCACTGGGAAACACACAGAGGATAAAAGATAGAGAAAGACAGACAGAATGTAAAAAAAATAAGTGAGAATAAAAGTGTTAAATACAGCAAGAGACAAGGAGAAAGACAATTAAATGTACTTTCAAAACTGCAATTAACAGTAAAGCTGCTCACCAGGGCAGGGAGTTGTACTGCACTTCATTTCTCCATTAGTGCAGGTACTGTTTGAGATACACAATACACAACACGTGACGCTTGATTTAGGAAATGGCCGAACATTCCAACTCTCTACAATATTACTTTAAACTTTCAGGTAAAATTTGATCATCCAATTATAGACAGAGGGGTAATTTTGTCTGACAGTACCAGTTATTGCAGGCATCAACAGGCAGGGTGGCACCGGCTGGGTGCTGTTCCCCCTGGTGGTAACACGGGCACTGTGCCAGGGGCACACAGCTGCCATTGAGCAGGTAGAAGCCCAGGGCGCAATAGCAGCCGTCGTAACAGGCGGTGGCACACTGCACCTCTGTGGAGGTCATGTCCAAACACACCCGTGGACACGCACCTCCGTGAGCCTCACACTCTGCTGCTGTCATGTACACCATGCCCTCTGGACACACACCTGAGAGGAAACAAATGAAAATTGAATGGGGTTCATAAAATATTAGGAATACACTGCCAATACAAAATAACCACAAACACAATTTTATTATAGAGTAATATAATCCACACATACTACTCCACGGACTCAAGCTTGAGTAATAAGAAAACATGATGAAGTACCTGAGCAGGGGTGGGAGTTGCAGTCTCCTGTCTGTATGTGTGGCCCAGGGCAGCTGCTGCCCCCATGCTGTGGGGAGGGTGAACTGCAGTATCGTTCTCGTGTTTGGACACCAGAGTCGCACTCTGATGAACACTGAGACCACGGTGACCACGGTGACCAGCTGCCATTCACTGGAAGTATACAACTATAATTAGCTTTTCTTCTTGACCCTTAGACATAATTTGTGGAGAGTGGAGGACACTGTGGTTTCTGTGTGTGCTTCTGTATCTGTAATACCTGGACAGTGAACAGTGTTACAAGGCTCTTGCTCCTCGTTGTCTCCATCACAGGAAAATTCCAAGTGCGTGTGGTTGGAGGGTGTGAGCGTATGGTTGCAGCTGCGGAATCGGCGTCTGATTCCAACATCATCTACATGGTTGAAACATGTCTTACTACACTCTGACCAGGTGGTCCATTTACTCCATACTCCATCTGGTAGCACTGCATAGGACAAGGACAAAGTCAGCATATCACCCATAGGTAATGAGTATGCAAGTGACTTACAAAACTAGGATACTAGCCTGAGACTGAGCATTAAAGTACCTGCAGAAAGGCTTCTGTAATTGTTGCTTATGACATTAAGATCTACAGTAAGTGGATAGAAGCCCACATGCTATTAAAAATGAAGGGCAAGTTTGCTTTTATATATTATATACACATTTATTTTAGTGCAAGATCCAATGCAGCAAACACTTTGATTTGTTAGAATATAAACCTAACATTACAAATGAAAAATCCCATGAAAAGATTTTGTGTTAAAGAAATCCCTAATCTCAGTTTGACTTATCTTGAAAAAAAAACTACACACTGGGACAGAATTAGTGTTAGCATTAGTGGTATACCGGGGAAGCAGGGGCTGGAGCAGCGGCGGGCTTCAGACGAGTCTTCTGGACAGGGTTGGATTCTGACTGCTCCAGCTGGGTTCACTGGAGACCTGCAGAGACAAAGTGATAAATACTCCTGGTCCAAATCTAATAGTTGGTGAGTGAGTATAAAAAAACTTTGGTCAAAAAAAGTGCATTAAACCTGATTTAAACTTAGAGTAACAATATGCATAGTGAAACTCAGTTGTTCCAGCAGCAAGTGAAAAGATCCAGAATTATATCTCTGAATACTTAATGTGAGCAGTTACAAACTCTAACTAACTTAGAGTTAGAGGTTTTAAGGGTATTATTAGAATGTACACAAAACCACAAACAGAGTAAATAAGTCAAGAATAGGCACAGAATTAAAGGGGAAAGGGGGTCTTATGGAAAATGAATGAGGCTGAGTAAGGCCTTTGTTTGCTGTTTGACTTTTACAATGAGTAAGGTGCTTTACAAATATACTGAATTAAACAGGCTCACCTGTAACGTTGCTGTAGCCCCAGACCACAGGTTACATCACATGGTGACCATGACGACCAGGCTGACCAATGACAGGTCACCATACAGCTGGATGTGTCGCAGGTTACTTGTCCATCTCTGCAAACACTATTGGGGCAAAAACTGCATTACTACACTTTTCTATTTTTTTTCAAATCACTCAATTAGGCAGCAGTCCAGTGACATTACTGGGAAAAACCTGAGTGATTTTTTAAAAAAACTTTTCCAACAACTGATAATTATGACACCTCAGACAAAACAGTTTTATGACATTAAAATAAACTAAAAGTAATTACGCATAACTGACTAGATAGCATTCTAGAAATAGCCTCAATTATGTTATGAAAACAAGGCTCTCTTTCAAAGTAGAAAATAACAAATGAATGACTCTCTTGTCTCTCACCATGTGGTACACTGGTCCCTGACTCTCTCTCCTGGCTGCAGTGTTTGACCGTCCCAGAGACAGACACATTGGCTGGCATTCACACATTGCCCACCCTGAAGGTACAGACCATCAGAACAGCGACACCCTGGAGGAGACAGAATAAAGGTCTTAACCAGACTTTCAGCTACAAGTGAATGAGCCTTTGTGAGATACTATCGTCAGAGAATAAAGATCCCGGCATTGCTTCAATACAGGTTTGAGGCTTTTGCAACAATTTGACAGAACATATTAAATTGCAAAACCAGTGAATCACAGTAAGGACTCAATAGACAACAGAACAAAGACCGGTTCATTTATTCTTACTCTTAAGTCCTCCTTTTTGTTTAACTTTATTTAAGTGGAACAGCAAGAAGCCTGTTTGATTTGGCAACAATACCCAAAAAACATTAAACATTTATAACTTATAATTTATCTCGACCACTATCACAATGACTACACAAGCATATAAAAGAGCCATTATTATGTACTTGCGTTATGTGTAGAAATGAATACTGACTGGCCACAAGTTTGTACTTCAAGGTAGGAGACCACCCAGTCTCAGAAACTACCAAAACGTACCTCAATGTCTCATATTTACATGACATTATAAAGCATACAATGACACCCCATCACCTCCAATGTGTCCTACCAGATATACATGCTGCAGTGCAGTTGTTGGTCAAGCTGAGATGTGAGCATGTAGGAGGACAGGGCTCCACCCTTCCAGCCTGGCAGTCTGCCTCAGTCACCAGCACCATGCTGTTGACACATCCTGAACAACCAAGCAGGGCACAGACATAATTAGGAGAGTTTATCATGTAGAAATGTAATTACAAGGTGTTCAAGGCAAGAGTATTGGACCACCATCCTCAAGGAGGAAGGAAACAACACAATTTACAGTCTGACAGATTGTGAGTCACCTGTCTGTGTGCCTATGTCTTTGGAGCAGGGTTGGCTGTTGCAGCTCTGGCTCTGCAGGGTCATGCCCTCACAGTCCCGCCCACCGTTCTTGGGAGGAGGAGCAGAGCAGGTTCTGTTCCTCTGCCTGATACCACCACCACACTGAGCGTCACACTCCGACCACTCTGTCCACTCTGACCAATGACCATCCACTACAAGAGGAGACAGGGGAGAGTGACATTAAGATAACCATTAGATAACGTGAAAGATGCATCCTGGTTGGCATCAGGCTCAGGAAACAGACCTGGACATGCTCGAGGGAAACAGGCTCGACTGTCGAACTGAGCTCCACCACAGGCCCCTCCGGGCAGAGCCTCCCTCAGTATGTCCCTCTGTCGGAACAAGGAGCCCAGACCACAGGACACACTGCATGCACTCCATGCTGTCCATGCGGACATGATGCAGTCCACTACAGGAGAGGAGCGATAAAAGGATTTAACCAAAATATCAATATTTCTTTATTTCTGACTTTTTACCTCTTTTAAGGTGGGCATATATCTTACCACAGTCTTTCTCATCTGATCCATCCACACAGTCCCTCTGCAGGTCACATCTGCGGTCCAGGTGAACGCACTCCCCACTGGCACAAGAGAATTGCTTGGTAGAACACGGGCTAGGCACTGGTGTGCCTTGTGGAGTCACTGCTGGTCTGGCTGTGGTGCCTGATAAGACATTAAAGTTTTTCCAGGAATAACACATAAATTATTATTTATTCCAAAAGATTTACTTCAGATCATATTTTGCATGTGTGCAAGATACATCATGACACTATATATCTTCAATATGGTAACAATATTATCAAATCTAACTTCTCTAAACTGACAGAGTTTGTAAAAAGTATTTCTGATTCCATTCTTCTGTATTTCCACCCCTGACAGGTTGTTGATGCATACCACAGCGTTCTTCATCTGACCCGTCCAAACAGTCCCGTCTGCCATCGCACACCAGCGCAGAGTCAACACAGCCAAATGACCGGCATGCATACTGGCCTTCCACGCAAAGCACTCTGGGTAAGCCACCATCATGGGGGGTTGTAGCAATCCACGTGGCTGTAAACGAAAATAAAGGTTACAATATATGTCTATTTTGTATAAAGTGTTAGTCCATGGGTCATGTCTGGTTGTAGGATAACTAGCAAGGATGTTGTGTCTCTAACCTTTTGTGGTTTGCAACCCAGGTCTTCCAGAATGGGGGGTTGTGGTGTGGTGAAGACCAGGATGACCTGTGACCCCTGGGCTAGCCATACTAGGAAGTCCACCTTGGGACCCGGTGGTATGGAGGCCTGGCGCACCTGTTGTACTGTCTCTGTGGAAACCTGGTCTCCCCATGGAGGTGGTCTGGTTCTGCAGGCCTGGAGAACCTCTGGTTGGAGCCGTACCTGAAGAAGACCACGAGGAAGATAAGACATAACTAAAGACATGGAAAAATAAAAATAAAGGAGTATGAATCATTTTCAGCTATTCTCCTTAGGAGACAAACAATTGGTGGTGTGGCTTGACTCAGTGGAAGCACTCAGCTCTCACCACAGTTGATCTCATCAGAGTGGTCCTTGCAGTCTGGTCGACCATCACAAAGCACAGAGACAGACACACACTCCTCACTGTGCTGGCATGCAAACTGGCCTGGATTACAGCGCTGCACAGTTACTTTTCCAACACCAGAGGGAGCTGTGGTTACACTGCTGGGGGTCACCAGCTCATCTAAAAGAGCAGAAGGAAAGCTTGTTTCATATTAGCGCTGATGTGAAGTAGTTCTGTAGTAGTATGCAAGAGGAACTGGGTCCTGAGAATTTGGATTGTTACTGTTGTTGTTATTCCTCACCTCCTCTGCAGCCTAGGATCTCTGCACGCAGGTAGAAGGTGTGTCTGAACTCCACAGGGATGATGCGCAGGTAGCGAGCTCTGACCAGCCGACCGAGCCAGCGGGTTACAGGGCTCCTGGCCACCATTCGCACCTCAAACACCTAGACCACAACCAAGAGGACACTTCTACATGAGTACATGCAATGACAAGAACATTGGATTTTTCTTTTTATCTACCATGTATGAACACATTCATAAAATATGAGGATATATGTAAATGGACATTCATATTTAACATCAGGTTTTCTCTGCAAATAACTACAAATACCTTAGCAGGGCCACCAGGCTTCCCATCCTCACTATAGTCTGTGAAGAGGCTGCTGTGCAAGGCGAAGGCCAGGCGGTATTTGGTGAGGTAACCCCACATGCGTTCACTGCCCTGGGTCACCACCCCTGACACCCATGTGGGCTCCAGGAAGTCCACCTGAAAATATGGCTGGGGATCTGAAGGCAAGGGGCTCCATCCAGGCTCCATAACCTGACTGCACAGAAAATGATATAATCTGTGTTTGTTACTTTCTCTTAACAGCAACACATTTAGGGCTTTTATGTCCATGCAGATAACCACACCAAATGGTCAGGCTATTATAAGCTTTAGGGTCGACAACCATACAAAGATCAGATCACTCACACATTAGGGACAATGTTTAGTCGCCCAGCATCAGCAGGGTTGTTCTCACGATGTGAGGATGAGGTCAGCTGACCATATCGAATTCTTCCATCCTCCAGTCCAAGGGGAGAGGAGCAGATGCCTACAGAATATGATGAATTTTAATACAGTCCAAAAGACCCAGTTTGGCAAACTGAACACTTCTAACAAATTTGCTCTGCAGCAATATTAGCTGCAGCATAAGAACATTAACAGAGGCTGCTGTTCAATTCAAAGTACAAAAATAAATCCATCTAAACTGCATTTAACACTCACCACGATATCCTGGGCTACCACCCTGTAAATACATTAGAAAATAAATTAAGTGTACATTGATAGCACCTATGTAACTTTGTACAGCTGTAATCTTTGGGTCTTGTCTAATTCCGTCTACAAGCAGTTTTATTACTATTGCAATGAGGGGTGGGAAATACTTACTACCATTCAAGATGATCACATGCTTTTTTTAGTCATCACTGATAAATCTTTCTCTAAAACTATGCTTTTTCTGCAGAATTTGGAGGAACTCATGGCTAAATGAAGTGCTTTCTTACCGTTGGTGTTACAGCAGGATGAGTGACAGCAGCCATGGATGGAGTCCGGAGAGGAGAAGGGGTGGGTGTGTGTGGTCTGTGAATTAGCACACAACAATAAAGAGGAGAAAGTACCTAAAATCCTTCTTGATTTCTTCTGAACACAAAGAGTTTGTGAGATTGAAAGCAGAGCTAAGTAAACAGAGATGAGACAAAAAGTAAGAAGCAGAATTCAGGAGTGGATTACCAAAATTGATTTGTCAATACAATAATTAGCACAACTATAACTACCGCTGCTATAAATAATAATAATGCCCTTCACCTGTCTGACTGGGTGGTGATGTGGTCGGGGGGATGGCAGCCAATTTCATCCTCCCCTTTGGGACAGTGGGGAATCCCATCACACCGATGCCTTACCTCAATGCAGCCCCCTGGTGGGGGGCAGGAGAACTGACCAGCAGGGCAGCTGCGTGGACTGGTGGGTGTAGGCGATGGCTGTGTACCTGAACGTGGGGAATGGTCAGACTAAGTAAGAATGATGGCGATTGGTTTTGGTATGTGTGACTTAGAAAGCTCACGAAAGAAAACTAAAACGACCAGGATCTAATGCAAGGCAAAAGATGGCAGTTGAGAGTGTAAGTGACTTTCCTTTCCACCGCATCCCATTAAAAAAATATAAAACGCATGGTACTTATAGAGTAAATAAACAACGTTGTGTTAGGTTGGAAAGCTCACCACAGTACATCTCGTCTGATCCATCTCCACAGTTATTGACCCCATCACAGACAACTCCCAGTGGACCTGCTGGCACACAGCGACCATTTTTACACTGGAACTCCTTCTCTCTGCATCCACCTACTGGGGAGACTGGGGAGGGAGGAGTAGGGGTAGTCAACCAGCGGTAACCTGGCAGAGAAGAGAGGAGAGCATTTTAGAATCACATATGTACACAAAATCATGTAACACCAGCAAACTACCATTAAACTAACCATCTCCACAACCCATAATCTCAAGTCGAAGATAGATGCCATTCTGGAAGTCATGTGGCAGCAAGCGGACAAACTGAGCTGACACCATCCTGTCTAGTCGGCTCTCTGCCACCCCTCGATCATCATGGTTACCATGAAAAACCTGACAGGAGAATGTTAATCCATCAATTTCAAGATCTGAAAAAGCAACGACAAACAGCCTTCGATGCATATGTGATATGATTAAAGTTTAACAGACTTGGTTTGATGTCTCACCTTGGCTCTCGGCCGGGCATCAGTGACTAGCTCTTTGTAAGTGTACCACTGTCTGCCATCTTGGCTGAACTGGAGGTAGAAGCTGGACACGAAGGTGCCAAACACACCACCACCCTGAGTTAGCACACCTAGAGAGATAGCATTTCATTGATTTTACTGATACACATTAGATAATCTCACATAGGAATTCCCTTTTAGTACCAAGTACACTCAATCGGCATCTCCATCTCTATTTGTTCTAAGGCCCCTGCATGAAAGTTAGTGATTACCAGTAATGTTGTATGGTTTCAGCAGGTCTATCTGTAGATAGGGGCTCTGTGTGTTGCTAGTGTGTCCCTCAGGGCTCCGCTGTGGTAGGTCCTTGTACTCCTCAGGTTCTGGACTCCAGCCCTGCAGATAAAGGTTTGACTGATTACACCTCATGCTTGTGTTGCAGCAGCAGTTTTGATCTTCAGTATGCTAACATGCTCACAAGGACAATGTTAACATACAGATATTCAGCAGGTTATGTACCATCTTGGTTTAGCATGTTAGCATGATAACATTATTGCTGATTAACACTAAACACAACAAAGTACAGCTGATGGAAGCGGTCACAACGACATTTCACTCAATGCTGCTTGTGACACTAGAGGGTGTCTGTGCCTAATGTATGTCAATCCATCCGATAACTCTAGACTAATGTGGTAGAGGGGCTGCCATTTTCATCCTCAAAGCCACACCGCTAGCATGGCTAAGAAACAAGGAACACTGTTTGGTTTTTTAAATCAAAGAAGGACTGTGAAATCTACCATGAAGCATCCCTTACACAAGAACATTAAGGTCAAGGAGCTAATGTCAGATATTGAGCGGTCAAAAGCAGAAGACCGATATATACTGAGCACCTGACAAGTGTGAGAAGAGCAGTTTTGAAAAGCATGTATTCAAATGTTTTACATTTCTAATGTCAGCAACTTGTAAACCATTTTATTGCTCACCCCAGTTTGAATAAATGTCTCCTTCAGTTAAAAATATTTAATTTGGGCCTTGCTACAGTGATATTAATAAAAAATGTATTTGATCCATTCTTGTAGGGTTTTGTTTTTATTTATTTTTTTCAAAGGTCAGGGTCAGCGACAGAACAGCAGTCTTGGAGTATGAGGGGATTTAGGAACTTGCTCAAGGGCATTTCATCTGGATTCATCTGGCTGTATTGAATAAATATATCATTAGGCTTGGTTTACCTGGAGGTCCCTATGGGGGTCCCATCCATGGAGGCGACCTGCCTCAGGCGGGTGACCAGTCTGCTGTGATGAGGCACTGAAACTGGAAGCTGGGAGAAACTGAACACCCAGAGGAGACCAACACTCATCTGAACAAAAGAAGAGACAAGGTGAGATTTGATGAAAATTACAATGAGCGGAAATAAATTAACCATTCATAATAAATGCAGAAATGAAAGCCAAAATGCTCTAACTTGTGAAACTGCATGACCAACTGATCATATGAAAAAGACACAAACCTCCAGGAGGAAGTGGATATGTGGGAACCAGAGGTGTAGTGCCCTCTCTTGGCTTGGAGGTCACAGTGACGGGGCTAATTGTCACAAGAATGGTGTCATTTCCTCCTACAGGGGTGTTGTAGAATAAAAAGATGAATGTCAGACTGCACTTACTTTAATATTGCAATGTTTGTAACAATGAATTGGACCTCATATTTTGAGTTCTGCAATGTTGTTGAGGGACCAAATGAAAAGGATCTTTATTTAGTTTTTATTTTACTTATCACTTTCATTTTCTTCATCTTCAAAAGCTCGTTAATCTATTTTTAAGCTCATACAAAGAAGGAATACTACTACCAGTAATCTTTACATATACTGGCACAAAAGGTTTGAGACTATTAAGGTAGTGTTCTCTTTAACAGATACAGTAAAAAAAAAAAAAAAAAAAGAAAATCTTCTGAACATGTGAATTATGTCTGTGGTTACAAGAAGTGGTAGGGGGCAGGGTCTCCTCTCTCTGCCCTGAACTGGAAGAATGTGTGAGCTTTATACAGTACTAGCAACCTTACAACAGAGGACAAAGGGTGATTCTGAGTGTTTGTCATTTATTTAGATTAGCGTCATCTCTGACATTAGTGAACATTAGTAACCATGGAGTGCAGTTACTTGTGTATAATTTTTGAATGCCAATCATTTTATTCACCATTAAACAAGCCAACATTTTATCAGTGCAGAATGACAAACAGTTATGATTTTACCTTGGCAGTAACAACACCTGTCTTCCTCTCCAAGCACCAGACTTTGGCCCTGCACAAACAAACCAACATTCAACCTTTGACTCAGTCACACGTGTGGTGGAGTTGCTATGGGACATAACTATGTAAAGGAAAAGCAAAGGATGCAGAGGAAGCAGAGCTGTGGATCATGACGGGGAGTGCGTGGGTTAGATTGTTTACATGAGATAAGATTGAAACATAGATGAATTAAAGGCACACACAGTCACATCCTCAAATAAATGTGCAAATGTACCAATGTAGTGAATAATATTTCCATAAAACATGGGCACACATTCAAGCACATACAGTAAGTGTGTTTACAGAAATGTGTAAATGCACGAGTCACACACAGTTCTCTTCTTACCTGTGGGCATCCACTGACAGCGTATGGACAGTAGAGGGAGCACTGCACTGTGAGGTTGGGCAGACAGTGACATAATTGGCAGGGGTCTGACCTCCATCTGTCTCCCACAGCATGGGACTGACCCTGGTACTCACACTCATCACAGGGGTCTGTCTGGCACCTGCACACACACACACACACACACACACACACACACACACACACACACACACACACACACACACACACACACACACACAGAGAGAGACATGGAAAATGCATGCAGGAATAATGGGATGCATTTGTGTTTGCTCATAAGTGCTTGGTCTCTACGACAAAAAGAAATGATTTCACCAGGAGAGCATGAAAGTTTTCAGTAAATTCTTATTTCCACTTTTTACTTGATTTTGAGATGTTCTGTACAAAAGGCTTTTTTGTGCCATAAGGTGGCTTGCATTTTAATTATCCTGGACACACTAGTTTTTTTGGGTAGCATTACATTGGGTCCAATCCAAGTATCCATGAGTAGAAGTGAAGTAGTGTAGAAATAGAAACAGTAAAAGTAGTTAAAAGACCCAATGAGGAGAGGCTACGTACCGACGGGCTTTCCTGTAAATTCCTCTACATGTTCTCCCGTCTCCGTGCTTGGTGGGATTGTTTGGGCTGCGGAACGACCACTGGACACTCTGAACACCACAAGGCCCCAAACACTCTCCCCACTCAGACCACGATGACCAGCCACAGTGCACTGCAGGAAGACAATGCCGACTGTGTATGACGGCTCAGACTTTAAGGCAGATGAAGAACGATACCCAGTGTGTGGGTAACAATCAGCTGTAGATTTATTTCTGACCTTGAAATTAAGTCACCAGACTTCAGAGACAAACTCACCTGAACAGTCTGGGTTAGGCTGGCATCTCTGAGGCCTTCCTCTCTCACAAACACAAATCTCACAGTCCACCTTCATCTGCTGGCCCGGCCAGTAACGCACACCTGCCACCTCACAAACACACTCCTCTGGTAACACGCACTGTTGCATATGGCTCATCACCTGGCCCTCTAGACACCAACAACCTGAAGTAAGAGGCACATTAATTGAAAAAAGCTTGTGAAAGAAATGTCAATTTCAAAAATGTGTTTAGAAAACAGAATATTCCAGATTCCTCCTGACTGACCCGAAGAGCAGGGTGCTGTTGGATCACAGGTTGTCCCACTGCTGATGTGGGCGCAGGACATCGGGCAGGGAGCACAACTGTGTCTCACCAGCCCAGTGGGACAGCTGGTGTTGGCACACCCATCATCAGGACACGGCTCTGTAGTGGGAACGGGAAGAAAATGAGTGAAGTTCATTTTCTTTTTTTTATCTTTTAATCCTGCTTAGCATTCCCACTTTCTTTGCTATTGTTGCTTCTTGATCAGATCAATTTTTAGAATTGAAACCACCATCAGATACGTTTTGAAGCAACAATACCTGTTCCATGAATACGCTGAAATTCTAATGGCACACATTTTCTCATTTGTCTTTAAGGGTATCAATTCATAGAGATAGATAGGTATGTTTTTTTGATCCAGGTTTTGGGATATCCATCTTTGAGATTTCTACCTCCACTCCAGTATATTGTAGCTGAATAGAATTTTGTTTATGGTGCTCACAGCAATAGAAAAAATACAATTTTAAAAGTTCTAAAAGCAACTTATCTTTCCTGAGAGTCCTGGTTACTCTGGAAAATCATTTTTTACTTCAACTACTTTCTAACAACAAAATGGCCCAGTGAAAACTGTTGACCGTGTGTTTTGGGTGAACCAGTCCTCTAAAGTGACCACTTTCTTCCTCAATTATTGTACAAGACTAAGGCTTTTCTTTCCATATTTCCAACCAGTGATTTTTAGCCAGTAACACCTTCATTTATTTTAATTGGAGCTTAGATTTACAGAACACCCTTACTGATTTCCATGGCTAGCTTGGATGGCCCTGGGAGCTGGGAACAGTCTCGGCCTCCAAAGCGAGGAGGGATGCAGCCTCTGTGTCTGACCTGCACTCCACCACAACCGCTGGAACAGTTCGACCAGTTCACCCACGGCAACCACTGACCATCCACTGGAGGGGGGAGGAGAATACATATTTGATTTAAAACCATGCATCAAAGCTTTGAGTCTGTATATTCTTAAACATATTTATTTTTTAGTTCATGTCCTTGTCCATGTTCAGTCTTTTAGCCCCTTACCAGGGCAGGTGGTGTTAAAGCATTGTTGCCTCTGGAAGTCCTGTCCCTGACAGCGGCGCAGTGGGTCCCCTTGAGGGCAGGTTCTCTGCCGGCTCATGGAGCCTGTACCACAGGAGGTGCTGCAGGGACTCCACAGACCCCAGGAGCTCCAGCTTCTACAGCCCTGCTCATCAGTGGGGCCTCCAAGTGGTGCTATTGAGGAGTCCGGACAGTCTACCACACCATTACACACCTAAGTAATTAGTGGAAAGGATGGGTTGAATATAACTGAGGGGGGGTCAAGCAATTTTTTTGCTGCTTTCAATCATTTTTATGTAGTTATTGTGAAAAAAGAACATTAATTTTTTTCATGTTTTATATGATGCATGCTGACAATGGTTAACCAAGATGACTGTTAATTAGGCCATATCACCATATCTGTATCATGTTCATGTTTAAAGATAATCATTTAAATTGTAAAAAAAAAAAAACAACAACAATAATATCAATGTGCAATAATTTTATAAACTTTCTGAACAATTAAAACATTTGAAAAAATATTTTTCTACTTTGTGTTGAAATCCTGTCCACATCCTCAGGATGATGGAAGATGATAAAACTTCCTCTAACTTCATGGTACAAAAGAAGGAATTCTATCCTTTTTGTCACCTATCCAATCACTCGCTACCAACTAAATACATAAAGTTTAACTTGATGTGGTGGATATCATGTTGGTTGTAGACTTACCATGTTAAAGGGGACACAGGATCCATCCATACAGGTGAATTCAGGGCAGGTGACAGTGGTGTTCCTACTGCCAGGGGGCGCTGGTGACACAGCTTTATCTGGAGAGAAAATAAATTAAATTTTTTTTATCAAACATACCAGAGATTACAGGATCCATCAACATCAAATGTATGAATGTGGGAGACTTGGATGTACACCTTCCATTCTTTAAACATTTTGTCAGGTCCGCTACGTTCCCTTGATCCATCTCTTCACTCCATCCATCCTCACTTCCATTCTCACCTCTCTCTTCTCAGTATCTCATGAGAACTCACCACACACCAACTCATCATCACCCCGTGGACAGTCTGGAACGCCGTTGCACACTTGCGACATGTTCACACAGGTGCGGTTGTCACACGGGAAGCTGCCTGGGCAAGGAGGTATTCGAGTAGAGCCTAGCAGAGAGATGGAAGCATTGTCAGTGTTCATTAACACAGTTTTTGTGGCCTGATCATATAAACTCTATGGTTGCTCAAATGCCCTATGTTTCTGTCATTTTGTGCCTTGTGTCACATTTGTATTTGTATTCGTATTTACCACAGTTGTCGATATTCTCGTCCGAGGCATCCCTGCAGTGTGGGATCCCATCACAGAGCTGCTGGTAATCCACACACTGGTCACCACTGAAGCAAGGCACCTGGTCAGGGCCACAAGGGGTGGCACACTGCTGCTCATCACTACCATCCATACAGTCTGTTTCTCCATCACAATGCCAAGCCTGAGGCACACACTGCCCACCGGTGGCACAGCTGAACTCATAGGACCTGCAAGCTGGAGAAACTGGGCTGTATAAGCAACACTGAATACTGCAAAAAATCTCCAGTATCTCTAAATCCTGACTACTGTTACCTGAAGAGGGCAGAGTCGGGGTGACAGGTGAGGGGGACTGGGTTATGATAACCATGTAGCAGTTGGTTCTGTTTTCATCCTCTCCACTTGAACAGTCTGTTGTTCCATCACACAACTTCGTATTGGCAACACATGTACCATCACTACAGGCAAACTGGTCAGGAGCACAGGTCACTGCCACACACAGAAAGGTTTACTGATTCAAACTATGCAGGATTGCTTTGAACAAAAACATATTTCCCTTACAGCTGACAAAATTTCACATGAAAATATTATTTGTACCTTTACTTGGACAGACAGCTTCGTCTGTTCCAGAGGGGCAGTCTTTATGTCCGTTACACACTCTGTTTGCAGGAACACACTGGTCCCCAGGGCACTGAAACTCCCCTGGGGCACAAACACACCTAAAACCAGCCAAAACATTTAGATCAGGATGACATCATGCTGTGAAATCCATAATTCATTAGATGAGTGCTGCTATGAAGCAAAACCGCAAGAAAGTTAATTTGGCTGAAAAGCATAAATAATAAAATAATACTCCTTATTTGATGTCACTTTCTTAAAATACTGTTTAGGGTCTGAGATATTGGTGCCATTCAGATAATGTCAAGTAGTATCTAATGAGTAAAGTGTCAAGATTTTTTGATTAAAAGCAGCATCCTTAGCTGGACAAGCTCTGCAAAGCATATTTAAAAATACCAGTCCATCTGACCATTAACAATCCCAAACACCAAACTGAAAACACACCCCCTCTCATCACTGAGGTCCCCACAGTCATCATGTCCATCACAGCGGTGGAGGTAGAGAATGCAACGGCCTCCAGCACACAGGAATTCCCCTTCGTCACACACCACACCACAGTCTGGACCAACAAAATTAGAGATCATTACAAAGTCAGATGCATACTGTACAGAAAATTAATCATTCAAGTATGCCCTCACGTGAAAACACAGATAAGATGTATATGGAGTATGCTGCTGGATAGAGTGATTACCTTGCTCATCGGACCCATCAGCAAAACCACAGTCCAGTCGTCCATCACACACACGGCTGGCTGACAGGCACTTTCCACTGGCACACTGAAACTCCCCTGGTGGGCACAGGGGCACAGGGGTGGTAGGTCCACAGAACTCCTCATCTGATTGGTCAACACAGTCTGGGTGGCCATCACAACGCAGAGCCAGGTTCAAACATGGTCCACTGCAGGGTTGGGGTCAATTCACTTTACTCACTTGAGGAACAGTGACTTTTTCAAATATAAAAACCGGTCAGAGGCCTGTAAGGCTGTAATGCTTGTTACTCTTCAAACATTGTGAAGAAGATGGATAAACAAATGGGGATACAGGTTTGTAGCGGTTACATAACCACTAGTGGGCAAAATATGTATAATTTGTATCACCATGTTAGTGTGGTTAAAGTCTATCTTAAAAAATGCCTCTATTCAGTTATAAAGGCTTGAGGTTATGACCTTGTGGTTGACTTATTGTAGCTAAGCTTCATCTCTTGGTCCTTAATCTCTAATCTCCACACATAGAAAATGTGCTTGTTGATAAACTAAAATGAGTTTGGATTCACCTTGGCGTGCTGGTACAGCGGAATTGGACTGGAGAGCAGGTGGACGGGCAGAGCTCATCTGAACCATCGCCACAGTCATCCTCGTTGTCACACACCCACTGGGAGGGGATGCAGCGCCCCCCAGCACAAGTAAACTCCGATTCCAGACAAGGAGGGGAGGGAGGAGGGCAAGCCACACCCTCGCACTGCCACACACCATCCTCACAGGAACTGGACACACAAAGGCAAAGGAACTTTTGATTATTATAGACAAAGGGAGTGGAATATAGTTTCCTAAGCATTTTGATTGACTGACCAGTTCTGGCAGTGCTGAGTGATGGTAGTTCCAGGTGGGAAAATGGAGCCCTCCCACTCACATGGACACTGAGTGGGAACTACACAGCTCTCTCCTGTAGAACACAAAACATACTGAAATACATTATTCTGCTATTCGAAGAGCTTTGCCAGTTTGTCCTAGGGGTAGAACTCTTATGATGTGTCCAAAACAGAAATGGTTCATCCCCTAGTGAGTATGAACGTGCTCAGTAAATTTCAATACAATCTGCCCATTATATTCTGATATTTTAAAAAGTCTGGCATATTGGTGGTGTCTCATAAATTATATACATAAATTGAATAATTAATGTAAATCCTGCTATTAGATTTGTCATGGTCCAAAGTGTTTGTCAAGGAGAACCTTTGCTCTGACTAAGAAGTTAAGTGAAAGGTCAGTTGGTCACTAAAGCATGACAAATCACCCTCTGGGTAGCATGAAAATCCACACCAAGTGTTGAGGAGAATGAGACTATCCATATATATATATATATATCACACTCAGTGGCTCAGGTTTAGTGTGCTAAATCTGTCTCACCATATAGGACTGTGCCAGCAGGGCAGAAGCAGCCCTCCACACAGGACAGAGCACCACACTGGGAGTGTGGGCTCTGCTGAACACTGGGACATGAAGGAGAACAAGCTGGACCACAGGGATCATACACCAGCCCGTTCTCACACTGCAGAGCTGCAGAAACAGAGAGCAAGAATAAAGAAAGGCAGCAAGACCAGGACATGAAACAATGGTTACAGAGATACAGTAAAAGACATGAGTAATGATGCGTGTGCAGAAGATTGACTGTGTGAGTGTGGGGGTGTGTATGTATGGGCGTCTCTGACATACGACAGAGTTCTTGGGATCTCCAGCGGATGTAGACCCCTCGGCGGTTACATTCTTCAGCATAGGCAGCAATGGCAGTACAGAGACACTCACAGTCCCCCCCTGAGTCACAGCTAAAACATACACACAAACAATGGACTGAGTATGGACTGTTCACATGCCGTTAAGTATTACTGCAAGTACACACTTTCAAGATGAATGATGTTGGCAAAATATGAACATTTAAAGATGATCAGGATACTTTAACCATGGAAAATATCCTTAGACCCTTTCTGTTCAAGAGAGACAGTTTTTTTAACCTCTAGTGGCAAGGTCTGTGTAACAGCAGTAATGCATATTCCCAGTTGGTGGCAGAAATGGACCACAAATGGTACCAATATACCAATAAAAGACGAGAAGAAGATGAATACCAGTTTGAATCTTAACAATGCAGGTTTCAAAACATTCAATATGTATCTTATTTTGGTGAGACAGGCTAAATGTACACACAACAAGCTCATGAGACTATAGCAAAATACTGTCCATAAGCAGATTTCTCAATCAATCAATCTGTTTGCAGGGTTGGCGGTTATGAAGAATAAAGAGCACTCATACTGTACATAGTAGATTACACATTTTAAAGATTACATTTTGAGATAGTCTGTGTAGATTAGTGGTGTCACTCACCCACAAGCATCAAAGACACACCAGTCATAATACTGCTGGAAGGGCACCTCAGGGTGGCACCGAGAGAAGAGCTCCTGCGTCAGGACTGCGCACCTTTTCCTGGCCCAGGTCACCCTGTGGGTGTTTAGCTGGACAAGACAAAGAGAGAGATGGTAGTTTGCGTTTGCATGTGTGTGTATGAGAAGCTGAACTGGATTTGCAACAATGTCCAAGTAAGTATAAGTAGGTCTAATGTTCCTGCAATTGTCAGTATGAGGTGTATGTATGATGTGTCTGTATTGAACTCACAGCACAGGGGTCTCGGAGGTCCTGGTCTGCCACATCAGGGCAGGAAGGGCTGACCTTCCAGGAGTTTCCAAACAGCTCGGCCGTAGACTCCACGATGCCCTGCCGTGTCGTAAAATCATTCTCTGTGTCCCCATCAAAGTTACCACACAGGCCCCCGACCTGACCCCGCAGGTGGGCCGCCAGACGCACATACACACGCATACCTGTGTGCATATGGAATGACAACCACATTACCACTGATTTGTTAGTTAACCAGTGTCTACAGCCACACACGTAAGCAATGCTTGGAGAACTATTTGCCTCTACAGTAAATTCCGTTTTTGGCGGTAATACAAAGAAAAAACATGTCTTCTCATAGTGATATATGAATATGTTTGGGTTTTTTTTTTTTTTTAAGTAAATTACCATAGACAAACAAGGGACAGTCTACAGAGACACCTGACCTACCTCCATCCCATAGCAGAGTGACCCCTAGTCGGGAGGAAAGGGAGACAAACAGGCCGACTCTTTCCAAAGTCAGACCACTGCCACTGTAAGACTTTGGCAGACTGACTGGCATCCCATTTACTGTCACAGCTTTACCTAAACAATGGAGACAAGACGGGTTACCTCAAGCAACTATTTCTTAAAACATGTGGTGCCTATGTAGCACAACTTCCTATCGTCAGCTTCTGTTTCCCCCATAACACCACCCCCCTACCTCTCAGCAGATGTATGACAGTATTTCCCAGGCTGAGGGTGACCGACTTTGTGCAGGTGACCCCAGTGCTCCCACAGGGCACGTTCTCTGCCGTGACGCTGAACAAACCGCTGGTCTCCCTCGCCAGCACATACTGGCAGTCGCCCAGGAAAGAGTAACAGCGGCCGTCGAATGTCACATAGTGTGGGTCACCGGTTGCCACGCACACACCGGCACAGGCGGACTGGCTGCAGTGCCAGCGGCGTTCCTTACACACACTGCAGGAATTTAAAAAAAAGAATGGTTGAGATAATTAATCATTAAAAGGATGTGATGTAATGAGACAGCATACATTACCATGTGTTGCAGTCTTTAACAATGGTGTCGTTGCTGTAGTAAAGTTGACCATTATGGCGGCACGGGCACTCATCTGGCTGAACACAGTGATCACCCTGCAGTAAACCGGAGAACACATAGCATGTAGTAGTCAAAGCTCACAGACACACTTAAACCTTTTTCGTGTTGTTTTTATGTTGTATTACCTATTGAATGGAATTTAATAGTGAGATACATGAGCTACTGTCAGGCTTGGTTCCAACTCATTTCTTGTGTAAGCTGAGGGTTTGCATTAAATTGAATTAATTGAATTCCTACAGATGTGGCTGTTATGATTTTTTATTTCATCTTTGATTTTTCATTTTCTATTTATGCTTCTTGACTTGCAGTACTTGCTTTTTATCTTACCATTGACACTGAAGGTACAATATCATGTGCATTCAGTAGGATAGTTCTGGGCCATGTTAAAACTTACAGTATGGTACAAGGCACTGCTATCTTATGCAGTCTTATCATTTTTTTTTACAGTCACAACTTTATTGTTTTGGTTCCACCTCACTGCTCTATCAAACTCATTAACTACATTAGCTACCTGCTAGTCCAAACGTTAAACATACAAAATTAGCAACTAACTTAGCTAGCTAGTTGATGGAGCATTTATCAGCTTTTACCTGAAGAGCAATATAGGCTCTATATACATATATATATATATATATATATATATATATATATATACACACATACATACATACATACACATACATACTGTATATATATAAGAAAGCTCCTCACCATGCACGGAGGGTTTCACCCCAAATCCAGCACCCTGAGACTGTACGCTAAGCGGAAAGAGGGAGGCCGAGGACTAGTGAGCATCAAGGCCACTATCCAGGATGAAACATCAAAATCCAAGAGTACATCAAAAAAATGGCCACAAAGGATGAACTGCTAAGTGAATGTCTCAGGCAACAAAAACCCGATAAGAGTGCGGAGGAAGAGGAGCAGACAACCTGGAGGGACAAGCCCCTACACGGCATGTACCACCGCCAAATTGAAGAAGTGGCTGATATCGAGAAGACCTACCAATGGCTGGAAAAGGCTGGACTCAGAGACAGCACAGAGGCATTGATCATGGCAGCACAAGAACAGGCCCTAGGTACAAGAGCCATAGAGGCCAAGATCTACAAGAGTAGATCTGACCCAAGGTGCAGACTATGCAAAGATGCCCCTGAGACAGTCCAGCACATAATAGCAGGGTGTAAGATGCTAGCTGGTTCAGCGTACATGGAGAGACACAACCGAGTGGCTGGAATAGTGTACAGGAACATCTGTACCCAGTATGGAATAGAAGTACCCACAGAAGGTGGCTGACAACAACAGGGCCAAGGTGCTGTGGGACTTCAGATTCCAGACTGACAAACAGGTCCTGGCCAACCAACCGGACATAGTGGTGGTAGACAAGGAGCAGAAGAAAGCGGTGGTGATAGATGTGGCCATACCAGCAGACGCCAACATCAGAAAGAAGGAACACGAAAAGGTTGAAAAGTACCAAGGGTTGAAAGAACAGCTGGAGCAGATGTGGAAGATCAAGGCGAGCGTGATCCCCGTGGTAGTAGGAGCACTCGGGGCAGTGACCCCCAAACTGGGGGAGTGGCTCCAACAGATCCCAGGAACAACATCAGAAGCCTCAGTCCAGAAGAGTGCAGTCCTATGAACAGCTAAGATACTGCGCAGAACCCTCAAACTCCCAGGCCTCTGGTAGAGGACCCGAGCTTGAGGATGACACACAGATACCACCCCAAGAGGGTGAGAGGGAAGTTTTTATATATATATATATATATGTGTGTGTGTGTGTGTGTGTGTGTGTGTGTGTGTGTGTGTGTGTGTGTGTGTAAATGTAAGCCTTGACCTACCTATTGTTGGAGTTTTCCTGGAAGATATTTGGACATGTGATATAAGGGAAACCACAGGGGGACCTAATTACATAAACGGATGTATTTAAAGCGGCTGCATTCTATTTAGCTTAACCAGCTGCATTGTCCTGATATAGTGCATAATGCTGGCTCACTGTACACTAGAATGGAACAGAGCCATCGTTAATGCTATTAACTGCACCTGTGCTCTGCCTGCTATGACAACTCAAAATGTCTGCTGTGGAAAAGGTATGTAGTTTCAGCAGTTCACGTTTCAAAAAGATATCCTTTATCCTGTATCCACTCAGAAAACTAAAGAAGAGTTTCCACTCACTAGCAGCACAGTTCCCTGAGGACAGACACAGCCAGACAGGGGCTCTCTGCAGCTCCCAAGTGCTACGCTGCTCCCCTGCTGTTGTCCAGGAGGGTCCAGGCTGGAGCAGGTGAGGAGGCAGGAGCGTGGAGAGTAGACCAGAGAGCCTGGACACCGGTTCACCTCCTCACAGCGCTCTTGGGTGCAGTTAAACCGCCCCTGCTCACACACACTGAAGGGAAGGGAAGAGGAGAGTGAGCAGAATCTGAACTGACATTGACTAAATAATTCTATATTAATCATGTCAGGCGTGCATGAAAGGCTATTAAAGCTTATTTAAAGCAAAAAATCAAGCATTGTATAATTAAAGTATGACTCAAATAAGTGGAATAACTGCAGTCAAGTAGAGGCCAGTTGGCCCAGCAGTTATAGGAATCTAGAGCTCTGCCCTTGAGCTGCTGGCTCAAGAGAGTCTACTATGGATCAATAAAGTTTTACTTTACAGTTGCTAAACTCTACACAGTAGCTGTAAAATGAGATGAAGCAACAACAAAATGTGTGATGTGCTGTGAAGTGTGATGCAAATCTGGAATCAACAGCCAAGGGTTGTCATTCAAGGTGAATGGATGTACTGTGTGTCATATTTTATATCTGTAATAATTATACAGTCCAAATTTCACCTTTCGTCATAGCAATTAATTAGGTCAATGGTCAGTGCAGAGACACATCTCAGCAGTTTAGTGAAAATGAGTCACGTACAAAATGGGCAATGCACAGACACACACATCCACATATAATAAAATATAATAATTAATCAGTTGCTTTCTGGTACTGCTGTGACTGCTCTGACTCATTAACAGATGACTCCCACCCACAAAGCGATGATCACTGTGGTTGTGTAGTGAAGAGATGCAATGAAATCAACCTATCCTGTATCAGGGAGCAGGAACATAGGGTGATTTCATCAGAGCCCTTGCACCACCAGGTACTGGTGCGCCAAGTTGGAAACAGAAAGGGACTTTAAGTTAATGTAGAAAAACACATAGAAAACCTAAAAAATTATATAATTTACCTATGTCATTATAAAACAATAGACCTTTTTCACATCAGCCATTTTTATGTAATAGTAGGGTAAACACAGGTGTTACCAATGATACTTATTAAGGTTCCAAGTGAGCTGACATAGCAGTACCCTGACTCTGTTAGTCTCTTTATTGAATGTAACCTCATATGGTAATTTTGGTATTTTTCAACCTTATTTTCCCATGTTTTTGTGACAAAATGACTAAAAGTTTTGAATTTGGTCAAATATTGAGTGAGAGTACTGCAGCCTGCATCCGAAAAATGCTCATGCTGAAATCTCCATAGAATTCAGGACTTGCTGCAGGAACACAAATAAGTGGAGATAGCAAAAGGTAGAGAAAACGTTAAATGTCATTGTACAGTCGTGTTGCTGGTCAGTAGAAAAAACAAGATTTTGACAGTGCGCATTTGCACATAAGGAATGCATTGTAGCCGGTTTTGTGGCTGTAGGCTGGGAAAATAAGAAAAATATACCCTTTAATTATTATCATTGGTAACACCTGTGCATGTTTTTATGTCAAAATGGCTGCTGTGAAAAAGGTCTATAGCACCGTCACACTGACCCCTGACCTTTCACATTTTCCTCAAAAAAAAAAACAGCAGGTGATTTTTTAGCTTTTAGCAGACATACTAGATATTTGATAAAACTGTCTATTCCTATTAATCAGCACATGATCTAAATCACCCCATGGGATCAAGGCTCATTCAAAAGTACGAGAGCCATGCTCATGAAACTGTGCCAATAGTATATTGAAGTTGCATCAAAGCTCTTTTCTACTGACAATGGCGAAAACATGCTTACGCCCTCTGATTCTTTATCAACTACAGTACGATAAAAGCTGCATAGATAGCCATGAAAGAGAAAGGGCTGTTTTTATGACTTGCTGTAAAAATATCTTTACGCATTTGGGTCACTAAGAGCTTGTACTGAATCAACCTCTACCATGTTATTTTACTCTGACAAGTTTAGTTTGTTTGCTGTCCTTGTTGCAAGAGTATTGCATCTGTGCAGCGATGTTAATCTTTAACCTAAGTGAAATTCTGCCATTAAGAGTCAAAGAAGGTTTGGAAATGAGACCATCTAAGTAGCAAGTAGAAAACTATGGTTTAATTGTACCAAGTAAATGCTATGGAAAAAGGTCTATTGGATCATATTTCCAGCAAAACATGTTTGTCCAATATTTGAAACCTACATTGTCAGTCAAAATGTTCAAAATTCCTGATTTGAACAAATTAGTGAAATCCCAGTCTGAAGTTCTTCCCTACTACATACCAGGTATTACAGTTGTTCTGAATAACATCCCCCGGCTGGTATGTCTTCTCTCCTTGCACACAGGGGCACATAGCAATGGGAACACACTGGCCCTGGTGGTCCTGCACTAGTCCTGGTGGGCACTGGCACCCTGGAACACAAGTCCTGAGACCCATTCCAGCACCACCGTCATCGCAGTTCCAGCTCTCTGAACAGGAGCCCCCACAGGCGTTACCACATTCCTGGTACACCTGACCCCCCGAACACTGGACCGCTGGGAAGACGGGACAGGAGGAAAGATTTTGAGAAATACAAAATAGCTTGGTACAGTTTGTGATTATTGCTTTAAGGGTTTAAAGCTGAAGGGCACTAAATTCTTAAGGGTTCCTCAGTTTTGTTTGTTTTAATTCCCACCCGAGAGGGTACACATGGGCACAAATTCCAAAGTAAATCTATAGCTTCAAAAGACTCAATATAATAAATCAATTCCTTATAGTCCTTTAAGTCAGCCAGCGTGTCTGAGCTGTCTCTGGATTTGCTGCCATCAAAGACTTGCAAAAGAGATCAAATCTTTCAAGTCATAACCTGTATGTCCAAATCACAAGTTAGTGATGTTAAAGCTAATGTTAAAACTCAGACGAAGTCATGTGACTTCACAGAGGAAAAGGCCACAGTTGTGTCCTGTACTTGTTGAACCAATCATAATGGTGTCTGAGATTAATCCCAGGACGGATGAATGAACAAACAAATAAAATGAATGCAGTGTTGATAAGTAGATGACCTATCTGTAATGTATTTCTCCTAACTTCACTGAGAAAGACAATTACCTTGGACATATATCTACGAACTCCATACTACCATGGTAACTTGTAGTGGACATCCTGAAACACCACCCAACCAATGACCTCCCCACTTACGGCAGAAGGTCTGATTGCGCCAGTTGACGGCGACGCCCTCCTGAGCGCATTGTTGGGTGTAGGCGGTGAGGATGGTGCAGTGACAGGTCCTCTGTGGAGCGCACCCGCAAACCTCCGACAGGCAGAGACGGAAATAGGGCTCCCTCTCCACCACGTCGTGGCACACCTAGAGAATCAGAGAAGAAGGTGCATGTGTGAAGACAGACAAAGATGAACTCCCTCCTGAGATAGCGGGAGATTTAACACACACTACCTGAAAGACGGGGCTGTGTATGACGGAGCACACTGTCTCTGCGTACTGTCTCCTCTGGGTGAATGTGGTGCAGGGGTCAGGAGGAGCTCCTCTAGGTAGAGAGCAGTGTTCTGTGGTAAATTTCCCTGCAAAGGATGATACGCTGTTCTCCACGTCTCCTTCTGGGGTGGTAAAGTCATCATGCTGGTTCCAGGTCAGCGTTCCACACAGGCCGCGCACCTTGAATACAGCATTTACATTTTACTAGCCAGTTTCTACACACTGGTAGAATTACTGACTTCTGTTTGCTCATAGAGTTTCGATTTCTCTCCATTTTGCTTTAGTTAAATATAGTGACCCTATGAGGTGTGACGGTCACCTTGTTTGCAAAGCCAGGTTGCAGGGTGATCAGGGCCAAAGGTCCATCGAGGTGCCAGAGCAGCTGGGCTCCAAAAGTCTGGATAAGGAGAAATGAAGATGAGGCCCTACGCACAACCAGGTCTCCCGTCACCACAGGCAACAGCTCCCTCTGGCCGTTCAGTGTCACTGTACCTGGAAGTACCAATACCAACTGTAAGCAATCAGAGGGCAGTGAACATATCATTCAAAATAAAGAATTCTCACATTAGAGAGGACAGGCTGAAAAGTCCTTCCCAGTAACTTACAGTCACTTGTTAAATTAAGCCATGAAGCTATGTGTGTTGAATTTAAAAAAAGTTTCACTGTAACACTGCACCAATGTTCACTGAGATTCACCATTTTTTTCACAGACAAAGGCTAAGGCCCTAAGACCAACATCAGCATCCATTTAAAATTGTATTTGTGTCCACCTAATAAATGTCCAATATTAACTCTCTTTTAGCTTTTAGCTCTCCGACAACTCCAGAGGGAAATATCTGGCTCTTTAGCTGCTAAATGTTCCACCTTGTCACCAGCTGGTTGCTGATATTGCTATTTACAGTGGGTAAATCAGAGTTGGGGAATGAACAAAAGAGTGAACAAAGACAGTGAAGTTGTGGGAAGTAGAATCAAAACAGTGAGCTGAAAGATGCTAAAAATACTTTTTAAAAATAGATTTTCATTACAAGCCATGCACAATAGTCATGCACATCCAAGTACTGTTAAAGGCAGCTGCTGGACCAATAGAGGAAAACATGGAAAACGATCCACACATTTTAGCTGCCTTAAAGGTCCAGTGTGACATTTAGGAGGATCTATTGGCAGAAATGGACCTGGAAATTAGAATCTGTATGTTTTTGTTAGCTAAGTTTATATTGTTTATATTGCCCTCCATGGAGGCCATCATGTTGAACCGCCATATTTCTACAGTAGCCCAGAGGGGTGCATGTTTCACAGCCGTGTAGTTTCTCTTTTTCTCTTGGAAGGGGTGGGTGAAGCAATCTGAAACAACACCCATAGATGCCACAAAATCTCTCCTGCTGCATGTCGACACGTCCTTGACCAAGGAATGCTCTCCATGCTGTGTCATCTTGTATGAATGTATATGAATGAATTAGTTTTTGTATGAATGTGTGCAAATGGTTAAATGTGAGAAGTAGTTTAACCCGACTTTGAGGAAACTTTCTCCCACCCATAGTTCTGATCCAGGAATACTAAAAATGAATGGGCTGAAAACAACATAGAGACTCTTCACCAGAATGAATTAATTTCTGTATCAACAGTTAGTTTAATAGACATGGGAGCTTTAAGGTTAGTCATGTTCACTGTCACTGCTGTCAGTGTAAAATTAGTAAGTAGTCACGTCAGAGTGTGTATCTTACTCACCAGTGTCTGTGATGGTCACTGTGGTGCGTAGTGCTGTGACTAACATCTCCCTTACACAACCCAGGCTTCTTCCTCCTCCTCCTCCTCCTCCTCCTCCTCCTCCTCCTGCTGTACACTCTCCACAGCGTACACTCACCACCAGCTTCCTGTCAACAAAGTCCTGAACACACACACAATTCATAAGCACACAGAGGAGAAGTAGCTGCCACACACACAAATGCATCTCATAGTGTATGTAACTGTATGCATAGTTGTATTTTATGTATCTCACCTCCACAGCAGTAAAGGAACAGTCTCCTCCCTGTAGTGAATACCTCTTTTTATCAAAGGTGGTCACCTGTAGCGCCCCCATCAGGCTGCACTGGGCTGCGCACTTCTCCCCAGTACACTCCCACTGGCCTGCTCTGCACACACTGGGAGTTTTAAGAGTAAAAAAGAAGGCTGGCAAGTCAGAGAGAGAAGACTTGGAAAGGGTGAAAGAGACTTAGGAAACACTCATACCAGGTATTGCATCTCTGCTGTATCCTGTCCCCTGACTGGTAGGTGCGTCTACGATGGAAACAAGGACAATCGTCTCTTTTTAGACAGAGTCCCTGGTGAAGGTAGAGGCCTGGCGGACACTCGCAGCCCCCCACGCACTCCTCCCTACACTGGCCCATGGCTGCAGCAGGCCCTGGGGGCTGGGGAGATGCACAGCTGGGGGGACAGGAGGACACACAGTCCGAAAACACCTGACCTCTGGGACAGACACGACCTTGGAAGACAGAGACAGAGAGGAGGAAACAGAGTTAAAGTAATCTTTTAGCATCATGTGTACTTTACATTTCTGTTCAGTCAGCCCATTACAGTGAACATTTCTGTGCCTTTTTGTTTCCCAACTGCTTTGAAAAAATGTCCTCTGTGTGCCTGTGGGAAACTGTGACATCAGAAGTAGGATTGTGAAAGTGAGACAATACTAAATTCAGATTTTTCTTTACTACACCTGGCTATGTTTTCCTATTGTTCGTTTTCCAGGTTTGACCAACAAAGTAGCTTTTGAATGCAATGCTAGTGTGCAACATACTTATTTGGAACCTTTTTAAGGTTAGCGTAGATGCTGCCAACATAAGTTACAGCAGAACTGGAGAGTATTTCTTCATTGAAAGAACAGCAAAGAACAGCACTGAAGGCTTTTCTTGATAGAATATATGTTTTAGCTTTTCTCCTGACTGGCTTCAGTAAAAGTTTGTAACAAACCACCTGCAGTCAGGTTAAACAAAATGTTCACTGTAATAGATTACCCATTTGAAAAGTTATGGGATGATTTGGAAAATGGTGACAATAATGTAAGACTAACTTTTAAAAAGAAGAAACACATTTTTCTGTGAAGATAATTAAATGGGATTTTAACTATTCAATTAGATAGATATTGTTTGTGTGTATTTGGAGACTTCTTTAAAGGGTTTTATGGTCTTTCCCTTGGTCAAATGTTCAGTGCATGTTTCCCTGGGTCAGTATGTTGATATCACCCACATACAGCCTATAGCCTACTGATGTAGGCCCCATGCCATCGAACTTGCAGAAAATATATTGCTTTAGACTTTGATATCTCCACAGTTTACCATTCAATCTGTGTTTGAAACATCCCTATTTGTTCTTTCGCTATTTAAACTGTGAAGATAATTAATGGGATTATATTCAATTACCACATAGGGCGGCTGTCCTCCACATTATGATGACGTGTTGCTGGGCACACTCTCGGGCATAGCTGGCCAGGGTATCACACACTGCCGAATCTCTTTCTTTGGGAGGCAGGCTACAATATAGGTAGAGACAGGTGTCTATGTACACTGTAGGGTCCAGCTGGAAGATACAAAGGCACAAACTCATCACTTCTGGGTTATTCAACACTATATCTGCATCAAGTAGCATACAGAAAATGAATCTGATACAGCTACAAGCAGTCTCCAAAGTCAGAAATGTAAAAATCCTGTAAAAAAAGTGCTTTAATGAACAGGGATGCACAGTAATGATTATGTTGATTATGTCATTGGGATTAGTATCACTGGTAACACCTGTGTTTACCCTATTATTTCATGTCATAATGGCTGCTGTGAAAAATTTCTATATGTTATCATATTAATAATGAGTGCAGTAATAATGGGTGACAAGTAAGAGACAGTAATAGAGACAGACACTAATGAGACATAGCCATATCTTAATTCATAAATTATTAACCGAGATTTATTAGTTTGTTTATTGATTTCAGTGTAAGATAATAGTGTAAGTTAAACTAAAACCAGTCTTTAAGATGGCTTGCATCTCTCTAACCCATTTCTTGGAACTGATTTATTTTCAGGAGCAATTTGATTTAGAGCTCATTACAGGCTTGACTTTCGCAGAAATGAGAAAAGGACTATTATCAAGTTAAAAACAAATACAGCAAACATTGGTAATGCAATGTGACTGTGGTGTATATCAGAAGGTGTCTGACCCGGACGTGGCAGTGTGTGAAGGGGTTTTCCTGCAGTTGGTGACACACTGACTCTGCCTGTCTGCGCAGGGCAGGGTCTCCTGAGACATCACAGCTGTGACCGAGCTCAGCTGCATCGCTGCAGCCCTGAGGGAAGCATGGGACACACAGTGACTCAATTATAGAAGGTCCATCTCATGAACGCATTTTGCCATTTGTTTCAAATATAGTAGAAGTGTCACAGAACTCTGCATTCACACCAAAAACAACCGCTAAAACCATTAATCTCCAACAATCAGGTGGGTTGTTGTTTTTTTTCAGCTGATTTTTTTGGATCATATTAGAGGCATCAACTGTATTCAGACCACATCCTGTGGTAATAATAATAATAATAATAATAATAATAATAACAATAATAATAATAATAATAATAACAACAACAAAAAGCTATAATGTTGCAAAAACAGTGAAATACTCATTCAATATAGTCAGTGCAGTACTTCACTCTGCTGGTCAGGAACTCTCCATGAGTTACCAAAGCTGGCAGCATACTGGGAAACAGTTCCACCCATTGTGGTGAAATCATCTACGGCACCAAGATACAAATAGGTTAGGAGTACATAGCAAAGGTGTAAACATGGAAACTTAAAATAATTCAAATTAACTAAGTAATACTACAAGAAAATGGGGAACAAGCAACCCTGGGTCAGGGACAGGGACTCTAATGCTACTTTCCTTACCGTCAGCGTTGTTGTTGTAGACTCCACACAGCCCCCTGGTAGCTGCCAGGTGCTCTGTGGTCACTGTCAGGTAGACTGTGTTGGTCAGGTCAAACTTCATTCTTACTCCCAGGCCACTCTCCACAAACACAAAGTCCCCCAGCCAATGAACACTCACTCCTGTAAGAAATAAATACAAAATTAAAAAAACGTTGTTTTGTTACAGGTTTTCTACTTTGCTGCGCAATATTGTTGATCAAGCATTTCATTTTTGGGTCAGTGAAAAGAATGTCTAGTGGAACCTTGGCAAGAACAATGTCATCTATCCATCCATCCATCCATCCACTTCTACTTAAGATGAATCAGGAGATATACACCTGTACACCCAACAATGTTCTGCTTGTAACTGGAAACTGGAAACATAAATATATATATGTTTCTCTCTTAAATTCATGTATTTGTTTGTTTGTTTTCTTTTTTTTATATATATATTTTTCAGTCTTGTTGGGATTTTTTTCCTTTATCTTTTCTTACCCATGTGCCATCCAGGGTGGGGGAAATGGAGAAGGGGGAACTTTAAAGACTGAAGGGGCAAACAAGGGCCCATGTTAAGTAGCCTGTTACAGATGTATGTAAAGGCTGATCTGTCAAACTAATTTTTTATTCTTATTGTTACCTAGTCTCATATTGCCAGGTCAACAATATCAGGCTGGAAATGGAACTAGGAGAGAGCTTTACTGACAGCTTAAAATAGTTTACCATTTTGGAAGAGTGGTTCTCCGTTTGGAACAGGGCGGTTGTTCAGCGTTAAGTTCCTGTGATGAACTGAAACCAAATCTAGACCCAGCATCATCCTCAAAGCCTGAAAGCAGAGGGCCACGACACATACAGAGCAAGTTATAAGTAGACATTTCCACCACTGATTATCTAACAAACTGCTACATTATGGACAATGATAGGAAAAGTCTAGTATAAGAGTATGCCACTAAAAAAACTGCTTCATAAACTCTATCAGCCGTTGAATCTGCCATATTTCACACCTTACTGCAGTCTCCTCTCCCGTCACAGACTGTACTGATGTAGACTGCCCAGGTGCCGTCAGTAGATGAGGCCAGCAGGTAGGTGCAGCTGCCCTGGAAATGGAAGTGCTTCCTGTCAAAAGTGCGGTAGTGGGCTCCACCCCAGGACATGCAGGTAGCTGAGCTCTGAGGCACCCTGACGCTACCCAGAAGACCACTGCGCACTAGAGGAGAGGACTGGGAGTCTGGAGAGGAGATAGAGGTAGTGAGAGTAATTTAACCTTCCTCGGATGCTGTCATATGAAATACAAGCAGTGAGCAGCTTCAGACCCTTCAGTGCATACAAAAAAGATTATCAAAAGAGAGATTTATACAGATTTTGAGGAAAAATAAATTAATTTCAGGTCACAAATTGATGCTTGAGCAGCATCCAAAACAGCATGCATGTCTTCTGACCAGGAAGGAGAGTGTAGGTGCAAGACAAGCAGGTCTGGTCAGAGGCATTCCTCCAGCTCAGCCCCCACAGGCTGCTGCAGCACTGCTCCATCTGCATCAAGGAGGAGTTATGAACTCCGGGGAACTCCCCACAGCTCCACGTAGAGTAACACTGGCCACGCACGCCCACACCTGGGTGTAAATGGAGAGCAAAGTGGAAGGAAAAAAATTAGTAGTCACTGTCTTCAGATTTTTAAAATAAATGAGTAATAGTCAGAATATCTGTTGGAAAGGTTGTGAAAAATCATTGTTAGGCTGTTTTCTAATCTATTATGATTAATTTAAAGTACTTATAGTCATTTTTATCCTTTCTCATAAGCAATAAAATAAAAATAAGCCTGAGCTTTGGGCTTGCAACTGGCCAACTTTATTGTGTTCCCTTGTGTTTTATTACACAAGGGAATAAAAAAGAAACACAACTGGACAACTAAGAATGTCACACACTGCTGTTCTTCATTGAGTTTGTTTTGTAATTTGTAATGTCAAAAAAAATCAACAACCAAACTTTGGAAAAAATGCATGCAACATAAATATTAAAACATTAAAAAATATATTAAATATATTTAAGTTAAATATATCATATACTATATATAAGTTAAGAGTTTTTTACTAATTCGTGATAATGTTAATTAATCACAATGCAAGTCATGTCATTTTATTTTATACAGCCCAGAATCAAAAATCTGGACAGTGTACAACACTCTCAATCCAGTTAATGTAAAACTGCACACTGCACATGGTACAGATCTCCTGGTCTCTTGTCCTCACCCTCAGAGCAGCGTGGTCCGGCCCAGCCCTCACAGCATGCCTTCACTGTCTTGTTCACCATCTCGCTCTCCATCTCGGGGGGTCTGTGATGGACAGACACATCAACTCAAAAGTGAATATGTTTACAATAATGCATGTACTCATGATGATATCAACTGGTGAACTATTGGACGCATGAGCATGAAAGGTCAAAAATCTTAAGGAAAACTGAGCATGCATTTGATCCCATGCAGGTTGCTTATAGCCTGTAACGTTTGAGATGTATACCGTTACATGGCTCTATGGTGGCTCACTAGCCCATGGAAAAGCACACTGGTTCTTAGAAGGCTCTCAGGTTGAACCAACTCTGAACCGGCACTAGCTTCAGCCCAGAACTAGCACTAAGTTCACCTTGGTGGAAAAGGGGTAAAAAGGGTATAGAGGATGCCACAGTATTTGTTGAACTTACTTCTCAAAAAGGAAATGGGTCTCACTTCTATTTGTTGATTTTTCCTCTGATTTGAACACAATTCATCCTCATATTTAAAGCAGAATGCTTTCAGAACAATTTGATTTGAGTGACAATCTTGTGAGCTGGGTTCTTCAAACTCTTCAAACCTTAGAGACAGGCCAAGACACTGACAATAACTGAACGTTTCACTTACTTATACAAGAAACAGGATGCCTTGAGACCCTGTTGTTTGTAGTATAGTGCGATGCCATCATCACCCCCATGCTTGATGCGCATCCTGTCCACATCTAGCCTCCAGCCCTGGGTGTTATACTGATACACCTCAGAACAGCTAACTTCAAGCTGCAGACGTGGGGACAGGACTCGCTCCACTCTCTCCTCCACCGCGTGTTCACACCAGTGCCTGGAGCACAATACACAGATTTAATTTCCTCTCTAATACTTCATGTTCAAGTTGTGCACAAAGGTACTTGCACAAAGTTTAGTTCAACATCCTGAATTCAAAAGGGAAAGAACCAACTTCTACTTTCTACTCTCTACTCTCTACTCTCTAGAAAGCAATGTATATGCAATGGCGAACAGTTACACAGTATACTTAAAAGAGGCTTTTATGAAAGAAACACATTGGAGTTAGTATTAAAATATCATGTTCTCATGTAATGTTATGGCATTACCTTTAGTACAAATTCTGATGTGAGCTTTGGACTTTAAATATCCACTGTAAAGTGTATTTCTAATTAAACAAGTTGGTCAGTCGGTAAGTGAAATAAAGGACTTGTGCTTGGTATTATTTCAATATGAATCAACCACAGCTTTAACCAGTGTTATTGTGCTGTTTCAGTGGTTTATACAGTGATCTGCACAGTATTTACTCAAAAGGGTGAATATTGCTCATGACTCTTATCACATTTTATCTCTCTTAGCACCCTTTCTCACCTCCCTCGTCGATATACATTAGCTTAATCCTGCTTTGACTGGTGTGAATCACACTCACCCCATTCCCATCACTGTCTGCAGTCCAAACAGAATCAGTAGTAGTGTCTCCATAGTCCTCTACTGAACATTTATGCTTAAGATTCCTGTAAAAAAAGTTTGTATGCAAGTTTTTTTTAAAGTCAGAATTTCTAATGAAACATCATAATGTCAATTTAAAATCCTTATGGTTGCCAAGATGACTCAGAAGTAAAAAGTAACTTTAAAAATCAGGACTGTTAATAAAGGACATCTTAATGATGTTAACCAATCAGAGGATTGCCATCAGTGTAAGTTATTGTTAGCCAATCCATACAAACTGATAAAACCAATAAATATAAAATTCCTTGAAATTATTAAATTACATTATTGCAAATGTTTTATACTTCCATCCTCCTACTACAATTTGCAAAAGGTGCACTTACCTTTGAAGTGCTTTTGGGAAATCTTAAAAAGTCCTTGGCTCATTAATCAATAATTATACATTTTTGTGGGTCTGCTTTTTGTCACTATTTTTCTTTTTTATCCCGTCCCACAGTTTATGATACAGTCCTCAGTGGAGTAATACTTTGCCTTTTTCGAGGGATCGGAGCCCCAGGCACAGGGTTTTAAATGCGGGGGGTGACTCATGGGATGTACTGTAGCATCTTAACCTGCTGCCATTGGATATAAGTGGTAAGGTCCCAGCTGGGAGAGCAGGCATTGGTCTCTGGACTTGTGACGGACACATCCTCAGACCTCATCCCGTCAAACATTACAGGACGCAGTAGATGATGTCGGGGGTGGTACATCCTCAGCCACAGAATAAAGAGATATTTGTTAGAGCCTAATCCTGTAAAGAGAGGTGTTTCGGGAAGGATGATGGGGGAATTTATTCAATGGAGCGTGTCAACAGACATGGGGACTGAAGGCTTTTAGACTCACCAATATCCCAAGTCTGACCTCCTGACCCCTGAGCTCAAACACAGCTGTCACCACAGTGCACCGCTTGAGCTCAGAGGAGAGGAAGGAGCAGCTACTGATGTCCAAAACAGTGGGTCATACAATTGACTTCTTTACTTTTTCTCCATGTATCCCCCAGCAATGAGCTGAGTCACTTTGTTAGTTCACTGCTTCATCATCATTTGTGAGAAGAAGGGTGAGAGGTGTATGGATAGAGAAAGAGAGGGAGTTTAGAGGTGGAGGTTCTATTAGCCTTAAATGGTATTATGTTGATAACTCTTTTTTTTTTTTTTTAAATATAAACAAATTATAACAACATACAACAAGTGAAATGTTTTATGTTATAACCTGTAAATGATCACGGTATAACATGAAACATTTCACGTTATTACAAGATAAATAGTATATAACAAAAAAACAAAGAAAAGCTTATTTTATAAAGTGATACATTTGTAAGTTGTAATAATGTGAAAACATATTGTTAACATGAAAAACATCATGTTATAACAAACATTTCACGTGATACTGATCCGTTTTTATTTTTCTGGAATGGCAGCCTTACATTTAGACAACTAAGGTAGTGTTCACACTGCAGGTACAAGTGGCCCAAATCAGTTTTTTTGCTCATATGTGACCTGGATCTGTTTTTTTAACGACAGTGTGAATAGCACAACAACAAGGAATCTGATCTTTTCAATTCTGATATGTGGTCCAAGTCAGATTCAGGTCAGGTTTTTTGCAATCTGACCTCACAGTCATACCAGAATTCATGCGACTTTTATGTAACTATAGAAAAAATCAGAAAAAATAATCAGAAATCCACAGTAGAATTGAGCGCTAAGACTTGAAATGTGAACAAAGCCTTTGAAACAAGATTTAGGGTCTACAGCCATGTTAACAGATCTGTGAGGCCACACTTTGGCACAGTGGTGCTTTGTGCTAATGCTTAAGTCAGCATGCTAAAATTCCCACAATGACGATGCTAATGTTTAGCAGGTATAATGTCTTCCATGTTCGCCATCTTAGTTTAGCATGTTAGCATGCTATCATTTGCTAATTTGCTAAGCACTAAACACCAAGTAGTGAAGCTGATGGGAATCATTAGTTCTGAAGATATTTTGACCTGATGATGGTACTAGATGAAAAGTTAGGGGATCACCAAAGTTTTCACAATTTATCCTGTGGAGTGGATGGGTGAGTGCACAAAATGTAATGGTAATCCTTCGAAGATAGTCGTAGACATTTCACTTAAAACCAAAATGGAGAAATAAGAGGATCGCCAAAGCCACAAATGTCTGTAAAATGTGTCCCAAACTACTACATTCTGAGAAATTTTACTAGAAAACTTTGCTCCACTTTTGTCATTAGATAAAAAGTCAGGGGATTACCAAGGTCAGTAGGATTAGTCCTCTGGGGACACTATGAAGTTTCATACAATCCACCCAATAGTTGTTGAAATGTTTAAGACTGGACCAAAGTAGTGGGCCGACAGCCAACAGACAGACAGACAGACAGACATTGTGCCATGGCTAAAAACAAACTTTTTCCAACTCCTTTTCCAACTAAATGTGTATGGAAGTTTGCTCTCTGCATTACAGTTTTTTCCAATTGCTAACACACTGAAATGACATGCATAGCACAATTATTTAAACTGACTCAGAGAGAGCAAAACCTCTTCTCAAGTCTCCAAAACTCTGAACACATTTTCTGCTTTACACTCTGACACTACATGAGCTAATTGGCCAACATATGTGCCACCTTGCCAAACACCTCAATGGTTAATTGTTACCACTTCAATCAGGAAGTAAGCACTATAAAAAGACCACAGGTCTTTTTTTCTATATATTATTTCTGCAATTTTCTTCAGTTTACTGTTTTTTGTGAGCACATTTTTGTTCACTCCAATGTAAATTTATCTGCTGTGCACATGTTGCACTGACTTGTTCGGTGAAAAATAAAAAAATAAATGTTTCAACGGCATGTGTGTGTATCTGCAAATATTTCTGTGCATTTGAACAATCTGAAGAATTTTCTACAGTTTTTTCTACTATTTTAGTATTATGACAAAGCATACTAAAGATGAGAGTGCTTTTCATTATGCCCAACAGTGTGTAGTTGGTTAGACAAAAATCTGGTAATATGAATGAAGTGTGCGCCATTTGGTGCAAAAGTTTGATTTTGATAATGCTATATGTAGTTTTGGTTGCAGTGCTTCATTTTGCAGGATATATGAGGTATTGTGTGGTTTGGGTGTGTGGTTTTGTGAATTGTGTCAAGTATTTTGATAAAACCAGCCTAGTTTGCAAAATTGTGTTTTAGCAATTGGAAAAAACTGTAATCAGCACAAGAACTTACTTTCACATGATAGCCTACAGTAACTGAAGCCTGGTGCCAAACATGCAAAATGATGGAATATAGAGTTGAAGTTGAAGTGGAAGTAATTGAAGGTTTAATCGGCAAAAGATTGTATTGCAGAATACTTTAAACTACACATTGTCGACTCGGCTTGGACCTCTGTATTTATAAAACCCTGGCTACAGCCCTGGCAGCAAGACCTAATGTATCACATATGACTAACAGCAAGATATAGAAACAGGAATAATCTAAATCCAAGCTGATTTCTGTGTATTGATAATAATAATCAATAATACAGCAGCAATAGCATGTTACAATTAGAGGGTTAAATGCAGGACTGTATTACAGCCCTGAGGCAGTTTCATTCATTCTGTATCAAGCTACTTAACCAGCTGTGTGAAACGGTGGGAGAATAAGATAATAAAAGAAGCAGTAATATTCAACAAGCACTTTTTCTAGATTAAAATCGCTATAGATGCCAAAAAGGCCTTATATACTATATGAAAATGATATGCTATTGATTTGCATGAGGGAGACAAAAAAAAACTCACTTTAAGTGAGTAAGACTTCATAACACAGTATACACAAATAAAACTATTTAAAAAGAAATAGTTTGATAGCAAAGTAAAATTAGATCATACATTTGCTTTAATAAAAAACTGGGGCTTAAAGAAGTAGTTGGTAAAACATATTTTAAATGTCATCTCAATTCTTTAATAATTAACTTGTAGTTTTCACTAGGACCTCATGTGAACGTGTGTGATCACTTAGAGCAAATGTAAGGGCAAAGTTCCTCCTTGTCCCAATAAATGTATAGTGTGTTATAAAACACCTAAACACCTAAAAAAAACTAAACTAAACTGTACAACTACTAAAACTTGTAATCCATTATATTCTGCTGTTAAGAAACATCTGAGCAGCTTAATTTTTATTATCGAATTGCATCAAACTTCGGGCCATGGATATTAGTGGGAGTGTTGCGCTGACCCCGGGGGATGTAGGTAGAGTAGAGGTCATTGTCGTCATGATCGGGCAGTTTGATCTTCTCCACACCTCCTGATTCATATTTTTCTACCAGTTCCTCAACGCTGTCAAAGCACATGCTGTTTGTACCAGACCTTCTCGACAGTCCAGTTTTCTGGATCCAGGTCAAGTACAGTCTGAGAGAGCTGCGCTGTTCCAATTGTGAAAGCATTTCCCCCAAATGTTTCCCATCAAGACCTCGCTATGATTAGATTTTCAGTTAGTGTTGCAGTTGTTGACTTAGACCTAAAGAATCTGCATACTGGGTGCCTGGTTAGCACAGTGGGAAGAGTTAGAATACTACTCTTGGTTTATAAAGCACTGAATGGTTATGCTTATGCACCACATATCTGATCACCCTGAAAATCTGAGGTCTGCTCCAACTCTTGGATCCGTTTCATATCAAGGCTTAAATCTTTTGTCTACCACTGCCTTTCATTGAATCAAAAGAAGAACTGCACTGCAACTACACTGTCATTTTTATCATATACTGTATATACTCTCTTTAAACAATAGTCGTGTCTGTTTAAATTGCTTTTCTTAAAATGTTTTATGTCTTTTGTGAAACACTTTAAATTGCCTTCTTGTTGGAAAGTGCTAAACAAATACATTTGCCGTGCCTTCTGCAGGATTATCTAAAAACAGAACCTGTTATTTCATCATATTTACAACACACTGTTGGCCAATCAGCCTTCGTCACTGCAAAGTAGGAGGTTAAACATAAGGAGCAGTCCATGGATCTTTGTTTCCATAAGAGAGATTTTTGCAATTGCTGAAGCAGGAGGACTGGACAGATCATATTTGTTCTGCAAAGTGCTTGAAGCAGGAGGACAACTACAGGTACAGTAGCCTGGTCTATTTCTTTGTTTCTGATACAGAGCAGCAAGTGTTTCTCAAGGCAGAATGGACCGACTCCAAAGTCAGTACATCATGTATCACAACATTATTACATAAATGCTATTATGTAAGCATGTTTTAAGGTCAGGAAAATTGTGAAGAATGTGACAAAATTGCATTGACAACTTATTGAATATTAAAATTGAGAGTCTAGTTTATCTCATAAGTGTGTAGTACATGCAGTGCAGGAAGATAGAGAGCATAGAGAGGGACTGTTGACTGCGAGCGTGTTATACCGGAGGCTGATACACACTGTTTGTGTTCCTGTGGAGAAGTAGAGGAGAGACTGAAATAATAAAAGGAAATAGAGTAAAGGGAAGAAGGGAGACATGCTTATCCAGCTGGGAATAGAAGAAGAGGAAGAAAGGTGATCCAAGATAAGTCTAGATTTTGATTCTTTACTTTATAAGAGGTTAAATCTAAAATACAGGCAATAATAGTTTGGATTAAAAAAAAAACTTTTTTCCAAGAATTAAAAATTACTAAATTAATTCCCTCAACATATCCAGTTTTTCTCTTCCATTCACTAAATTAATGCAAGATATTCTTTTCTTGTTATATTACAGCCATGAGGCTCCTCTGTGTACTGCTGCTGGTCTGCTTGGCTTGTTGTAGTGCTTCTAGATCAAGAGACTGGGCTCATCATGGTGCCCCCATGTTTGCTGACCTCACAGTACGTGAGATGAAAGCCGTGCGGGCCTACCTGCATGGCATTCCAGAGCTAGAGCTCACTGATGCTCGTAGCAAGACTCTGAAGAAGAACAGCATACTACTGATGGAACTCCATCTACCAAGGAAGCATGAAGCCCTGAGAGCTCTGGACCGTGGACAGGCCAAACCCCAACGTCAAGCCCGTGTGATCGTCCAGTTTGGGAACCTGACGAAGCCCAACATCACTGAGTACATTGTTAGTCCTCTGCCATCCCCAAACACCCATGAAGTCAAGACGTTTAAGGGAAATAAGCCTATCCTGTTTGAGTCGAGGCCTATTACTGCTGCAGAGTATGAGCATATTACTGATATCCTCACAAAGATCACAACTAAAGTTCACAAGCTTCTGTTTGAGACCACAGGAGGGTTTTCCTTCACTAACTGCTCTGACCGCTGCCTAACTTTCTCAGACATAGCCCCCCGTGGGTTGGGTCCGGGTGAGAGAAGAACCTGGATCATGTTGCAGAAATTTGTGGAGGGTTATTTCATCCACCCTGTTGGGTTTGAGATATTGATCAACCACCAGGACCTGGATCCAGAAAACTGGACTGTCGAGAAGGTCTGGTACAACAGCATGTACTTTGACAGCGTTGAGGAACTGGTAGAAAAATATGAATCAGGAGGTGTGGAGAAGATCAAACTGCCCGATCATGACGACAATGACCTCTACTCTACCTACATCCCCCGGGGTCAGCGCAACACTCCCACTAATATCCATGGCCCGAAGCTTGTGGAGCCCCAGGGGCCCCGCTATCATGTTGACCGCAATTTTGTTGAATATGCTGGATGGTCTTTCGCCTACCGAGTCCGCTCATCAGCCGGACTTCAAGTCTTTGACCTCCGTTTTAACGGAGAAAGGATTGCCTATGAGATCAGCTTGCAAGAAGCTATTGCCTTCTATGCAGGTGATACTCCTGCTGCCATGCAAACAAAGTACATCGATGCTGGCTGGGCAATGGGCACCTCAACCTACGAGCTGGCACCTGGAATTGACTGTCCAGAAATTGCCACTTTTGTTGACCTTTACCACTACTTTGACACAGACAAACCTGTGCACCACAAAAACGCACTCTGTATTTTTGAGATGACCACTGCTATGCCTCTAAGAAGGCATTTTAACTCCAACTTCCAGGGGGGATACAACTTCTATGGGGGGCTGGACAGCACTGTGCTGGTGTTGCGGACAACCTCAACGGTTTACAACTATGATTACATATGGGACTTTCTTTTCTACCAGAATGGGGTGGTTGAGGTAAAGGTCAGCGCCACGGGATACATCCACGCCACTTTCTTTACACCTAACGGACTTCACTATGGTACCAAGGTGTACAACTATGTGTTGGGTAATCTGCACACACACCTTATCCATTATAAAGTGGACCTGGATATTGCTGGTGAGTATGGTGGTACAATCATGTAGTTTCTCCATTTTAAAGCAATAACTTTTTATTGACCATTGACAAAAGAAAAAAATATTCAACATCAGTGTAAAGCCCAGCCCAGTATATTATAAACGATGGCCATATTGGATGCAATTTACAATTTATGTCCTTTATGTGTCAACATGGAAAGTAAAGGTATAATGGGTCAGACTCTCTCTTGGTTCAGCCCTACAATTAACTTTGGCTTCTGGGGTTTTGTTGCTTAGCCCCATCTTAACCATAATTTATCTGCCATAACCACGATCTTAATCCATACTGTAGTTGCCATGCGCAGTTATTGTAGAACGTTAGAATATATTGAATGTTGCTACTGGTCATAAAAAAAACCAAATTAAACATAATGTTTGACAAGATATTAACATGAGAAGACAATGGTGTTCCCCCTTTATACCAATCTTAATATCTGCATCTTCAGTGTGTATTTTAAAGGCAAAGCAAATATATTTGTACAGCACCTTTCATCAACAAGGCAATTCTTTGAATTCACACAGAAACTTAGCTCCTAAGTCCTTTATTGATGCCAGTCCAGATAAAATAGCTTTCTGGACTTTATCCTGTCGTAAAAGAGACAGTCTTGGCCTATCAACTCTGTGGAACTGTTCTGTTGAAATGTGTGATCAAGGCTATCTATTATGTGCCATGTCAATAACTTGTAAATCTTGTAAAACCTGTCGCTTGTACTACTCTTAATGTGCATTCAACCTAACTTTGCTGAAACAATCAGCTATGGGGACTTTTGATTAAATAAATGTATAGTGTCACAGAAGACTGCTTATACCCCAACAACTAACTACTTCTGACAACTCTTTGCCTTCACTGTGACACAGGTCGAGAGAACAGCTTTGAGACAATGGATCTGAAATTCGTCAACTTCACAAATCCCTGGAGCCCAGACCATTTCGTCGTCCAGTCCAAACTCCACAGGACGGAGCACAAGACAGAGCGATCTGCCGCTTTCCGCTTTGGCAAAAAGTTCCCCCGCTATGTGCACTTTAACAACCCCAATGAGAGAAATAAATGGGGGCACAAGAAGAGTTACCGTATTCAGTTTAACTCACATGCCCACAGTGTCCTTCCAAGAGGCTGGAGAGAGGAAAATGGTATCAGTTGGTCAAGGTAATAAAAAAATTCACTTATGTTGCTAGGAAAAATATATGAAGCAGTATAACTTGCCAAAATGTTTTTTATGGGTGCCACTCTTCCAGATGTCTTGTCAATCATTCAACCCAAATTCAGTCAAATCTGCAACATTGGGATCTCCAGTGGAATTTCAGTTCTGTGTATGTGAGCAAAGTTTACATACATAATTGCAGTGATAACATAGTTTGCAATGATTGACCTAACGGAGGATCAGTGGGGTTGAAGAGGTTAATCCCTTGATTGGGAGTTTGGTTAGAGACTAAGTGGCAAAAAAGGCTAAGTGGCAGACTTTTGCTGTTTCTCTGTATGGGTCATTTTCCAGTCAAATGTCAGAGTTACAGAGGAAATGAAAAACTGATTGAGTGGTGAACTGTCTCTCCACAGATATCCTCTTGCTGTGACTCGGCATAAAGATAGTGAAGCCACCAGCAGCAGCATTTACGCCCAGAATGACCCCTGGGAACCTGTCGTGTCCTTTGAGGACTACATCCGCAACAATGAAGACATAGTCAACCAGGTACAGTGGTGAACATCAGTTTAGACACATCTACATTGTCTGTTAATGCATGTCCACAATATGCTTATACGATAAAAGTCAAGGGACAGGAGTTTTGCCCACAATGCATATGAAACTGAAGACAGAAGAATTTAGACCAATATTCTTTTTCATTCTTCACATTTACTCAGGTACTGTACTTTAGTAAATCTTGTAGATACAAGATATTTATGCTACTTCATACCTTTACTACATTTTGGAAGTCAATATTTTTATTTTATTAGAATAATTAGTTACTTTGCAAATTCTGATTATTGATGCAAAATATAAATTAATCACCTAATAAATAATTTTATAGATAGGAAAGGGGGGGCATAGTAACCTCCACATTAATACATCACTAATTATAATTCAGTAATATAATATATATTATTCTGAAATGGGCCCTTCTGCATAATGATTGGTACTTTAAGTATATTTTGATGC